CCCTAGAGGATGCAACTAATCTGGAGACTTAAACATATTAATGTAGAATATTTGCTATTTGTTAGGATTTTGCTGTGTTTATCAAGCAGTTAGCATATCTTAATAAACCATTTTGATTGCTTTAGTATCTTTTGCCAGCCTCAATTTATTCTGAGTTTTAGCTTCTTCAACATCCTGTATACTGCTACAGCTATTTATCATCTTCTTGTGACCCATCCTGCTTTCTGTTCTCAGTATACTTTCTTTTTTACAGATCGTTATTTGGCTTTTTGTGTAGCCTTCCTCATTTGTTTTTCAGCTGACCTCATTTTTTTCTCATAGTCCAAAATAGCTGAAGATTCATAGTTACAAACCATCATAGAAATATATTGCATGTTAAATTAAAAGCTTATTCTTCTTTTTTCATTCAGGTTTCCAACGAAGTTTCAGTACAACCTCTGCAGTTTCACAAAAAGAGATAAACAGGAGAAATTTCTTTGTCAAGTAAGTGACTTTATAGAAGAAAGAACAGAATTTATATATTCCTAATTTTCTGAGATTAGAAGACTTAAAATCCCCTTTTGTTTGAGGAGGCATGAATCTTCATGATTAAGGAATCATTTTGGTGTATGTATGCAAATCCCATATCTATTTCTGAATGTCTGTAAGAAGAACAATGCTAATGATGGTCTGCGCATCTATGAATTTTCATGCTGCAGTGGCTGATAGTTATTAAAAACAAGCAGTAATATACTCTGAAGTGAATAACTCCAGGTGGTAAAAAAAACCCAGGTTTATATTGAAAATCATTGCCATTTTCCTGCCAGCTCATGCTAGACTAAATGGCTAACATTTTCTAAAATCTTGCTTCTCTCATCTTTCATAGTTTGTGCTGCTTTTTATTGGAATCTTGCTTAGACCACACTGGAAGTGATATTAAATACTTACCTGATTTTAATATCTTTGTTTTTAAAATATGGTGAGCGTATGACAAACTGATAGTTATTGGGATTGCAACAGGAGACCAATTTATTTTTTTCTTGTACAACATCTTGGCATATTTAGCTCTTCCAGAGTTAATATGGACATTGAGAGGAAAGGGTTATACTTGTAAAATCTTCTTGACTTTCAGTTTAATGTGATTGAAGAAGATTACTTCAAAGTTTTTTTCTTGCATAGCACTGACAGAATAGAAATATAGTAAACTGATCAAAGAATACGTCAAATGTATACATATATTGCTTTGGAAATTGAATTAGAATCAATTAGTAGAAAGAGGTCCTTGGGCTTAATTTAATACATTAGAGGCCAATCTCCTCTTGCTGTGCAATGTTGTATTTTTTTTATTTTACTTTCTTTTATTTTCAATTGGAAATTAATGTTGTTGCCTCTTTTTCTCTGTCCAGATCAAAAAATTCTTCTTTGCGTCGTAGTTGGAGCAACACTACTACTACAAGCACAGATGGCCCAGTAAAATTACATGAAGGCTCTCAGGTCCTCCTGAGCAGCTCCAGTGAGATGGGCACAATTCGCTACATTGGGCCCACCAGTTTTGCTCCAGGCATTTGGCTTGGCCTGGAACTTCGGAGTGCTAAGGGCAAGAATGATGGCTCTGTGGGTGACAAGCGATATTTCACTTGCAAGCCAAAATATGGAGTCTTGGTGCGTCCAAGTCGAGTAACTTATCGTGGGATTAATGGAATGAAACTTGTTGATGACATCTGTTGAAGAACACTATTTTTCATTAAGATGAGGTACAGATGAGGAAAACCTGACTTTTACCTGCGTGGAACCCCATCTTTACTTAACATCCTAAAGCTTCGTGACTCTAAGATGCTCACAGTTTGGAAGTGTGCAGTGACTGAAGAATGAGATCTTAGTAGCTTTCACTATAAAACATTTCTTGCTTGAATACTCCTTGCATTAGAAATATCTTGGATTTGAGCTGCTCTGTTACTCCAATAATATCCATTATTCGAACTAACTCCATTTTGACAGGCTTTGTCTCTTCAAAATGAGCTTTTCATCCTGTATTTTAGTGAAGCTATAATGCAGCAAGAGATCATACAGCTTGTTAAATAACTCTTTAAACTGCTTTCTCTAGAAAAAAACAAGGTAGAAAAACAACAGTGAAAGAACTCTGGGAAGCTGTTAGCTTTAGACAGTTCCCTGAAAGCACAAAACGATCAGTTGAAAAGAACCCTGAAAAGCAGAATTTGCTTATTTGACATGACATGGAAGCTACAAAAAATGTATATTTTCAGGTTTCCAGCAAAAGCACTTTTAAACTGTGTATGTGTGTGTGTGTGTGTGTGTGCGTGCACTTGTGCACACACTTAAAAAAAAGTATGCCAGAAGCACTTTCAAAAAAAAAAAAAAAAGCCTTTGGGACATTTAGTATGCACTTTTATTTCCCTTGAAGTATTTTCTCTGATCCTTTGGATAAACTATTTGGTAAGTTGAGGCTGTAGTTTGTAGCTTTGCACCAGTTGTATGTGTCCCAAGCACTGTATCCAGAAGTGGTTAGGTGATCAATAAGTGTTAAGGTCCTGGAGAAATATGTGCTTGGATTTACAACCCCTCCTGCTTCTGAAAACATGGACCTTCTTGTTATGGCAGGTGGGAAGGAAGTCACTTGGTGTGTGATAGCATTCTCATCTTCAACACCAGGATAATTTGATCATGATTGCCTTTTGGGAACCAAAATTGCAGAAATTCTGTGGATGTATTGCTGTATTTTCAAGTGTTTTTTTTTTGTCTACCGCAGGTGCTAGCCTGTTTCACAGACAATACATCAAGCCAGAGGGGAATTCAGCTGAATAGAATAATACTTAGCCTTCAGGCCAATTGAAGCCAACATGGATGCCAAAAAATTATTTGCAAACCTATGGTTTGCTACCTGCATGCAAAATACATTTAAGGAAAATAGTATTGACATTTTTATTAGAAAAATGTATGTTTGATATACCTTTGAAAAGAAATGTAAAACATCTTTTAAAGGATTGGATAATTTAACTCTAAAATGGTTTTGCTTTAAGTAATTAACCACAAAATAATAATTGGAAAAACAAATGCTCTACAATTGTTTGAAATAGTTTAATATATAATACATAATATATTAATGAAAAGCCAAAGAAACCAGAAAATGGTTTAATTCTTCAAAATGAAGCATCTTGTCAAACTGCAATTAAAACTGTAACAATTTAAAGTAACATTAAGGGGTTTTTACAAGATTTATTTAATCTGTATAAAATGTTTATGATATTTTCAGCTTTGCTAGAAGAAAGTTTCCTGATTTATATTTCTCATGAAATAGTAACACTGTTACTCTCTTATTAATGAATACTTTTGACTAAGGGGAATAGTTACATAACATGGCTATAAGCTTATTTTTAGTGGTAACATCATGTAAAAAGTAGCTAATGAATTTAAGGATGAAGTTGCACCTTGATGCTTGATACTTCCTAATCCAACATTTTCTTTAATAGTTAAATTTTATTTTGTTATTAAGTTAATTTTGATAGAAAAGGTTGTTACTAAGCATGGTTGTGCAAATCCTTTGAAAGAGGTGTTTACAAAGCACCTCTCTTCTAATTAGCTAAATCCTTTTCAAGGCTCATGAAGCTCATATGCTTTTTGAGATTCAAGAGTTGTACATGTACATGTGTGTGTAAAACAAGTTATTAAGCATCACGAAGCCTAAGAAAAGAAGCAGCTGCCTTATGATTCCAAGAGGTGCCGCCACCAGTAATACATAATAAAGCAGATGTTTTCAATTTCTATTTATGTCTGTAAAACCTGAACTCTCAAAGAAACTCAAGAGCAACAATGTAATCACTGATAGGTTCCTTGGTGCTCATTAGGCAATTCATCCCACTTGAATTTAAAGATTCCTTAAGTCAAGCACAATAAATGGCAATCTAACAATGCTACAAAATACCAGCCTCATACATTAACTGTATTTCCAACAGTGCCTTTGGGCACCACAGAGATCCAGCATAGTGCAGGGCCTCATTTGCCTTTAGATAAAGTCTTCATCATCATCGCTTCCACGGTGGCATCTGTTTTATAGTATTGCCCCAAACATGCTCTCAAAAGTTCTACGTGTTCTCATTGAGCAGCCCCCTCAATGAGAAACCTTGTTAACGTTTTAATTGATCCGCAGATACCTTGATGTTGAACATAAAAGTATTTATACATTCCTTGTATACTGTATCTTTTTCATTATATTTCTCTTTCACCCATTTCATATTTGACTAATAAAGCTTCCAGGGAAATGCTTAATATAATTAAAGAGTAAAAATATATTGATGCTTCTGGGTGCAGCAGTTCTGTGACCAATTATTAGTGTATTTTTGCAGTATTTACAGATTATCATTGTATTTGGTTAAATTTATATCCCTCAATTATTATCGTTACCCCGGTGATTGTAATAATAGTTTGCTTCAATCACATTATTCAGTTTCATGGAATGTTAATGAGTGCAATTTTCTACATAACAACAAACCCTGCTGAGTTTAGTGTAACTTATTCCCAGTTTGGTATAGGATTGTGTTTTATATTTTTAGACAGGCTATTGTTATACAAAAACGTATATATAATTGCAATGCACATGTACATACCTTGCACTAGAGATGAACACTTTGGGGCAATAATTTGGAAAAAGTACTTCAGACTTTAATGAGCAATTGCAACCTTTTTTTTTTTTTTTGACTTACGTAGAACCCTGAAAAGGTTGACTTGCATTAATGTATACCATGTTTTTCCGAAAATAAGACCTATCCCAAAAACAAGCTCTAGCTTGATTTTTACGTGTGCGCCTAATACAAGCCCTACCCCCAAAATAGGTCCTAGTTAAGACCGCACCCATTCCGTCTCACCATCTGGTTGCATGAGGTGGGGCGAGGCGCACTCATAAAAGTGAAAGTCCTCTGCTGGTGAAACAGGCCAGGGGGCAACATGTGCGTCAACCTGAGGCTCCGTTCTGGGCAGCAGAGGTCTTTCCTGAAGGCTTCTGCCGGCAAAACAGAGGCTGAGGGCAACGCCCTCAAGCAGTGGCCACATGGGCTCCTGCTGGACAGGGCTGTTGGTGCCACCGCCGTGAGGCGAAACATTGGAAAAAATAAGACATCCCTGAAAATACGACCTAATGTCTCTTTTGGAGGCAAAAAAAATACAAGACCAGGTCTTATATTCCGGGAAATACGGGTAGTAGAAAAGGCATGAGCTTGTGCCAGACCTTAAACATTTTTTCCAAATTATTTTCAAAGCATATAAACAACCCTGGTATATGTACCTAATAGAATGCAGCAGCTATTTTGTGGTTTCATCGGATAAAATTATCAGAAGCCATGGCTTTATGATATATTACTTTCCTTGACTTGTAAAGCCTTTCAACTCTGAAGTGGTAACTTTGTTATTACTTGTTTGATCCAAATTAGATTAAGTATAGTTTCTTATTTGCTAACTAATATCAAATCAGTGTTGGTGTATTAGGAAACTAAATTAAATTAATAAAATGCATGCTAAAGACTGAAAGAGTGAATCATAACCATAAAGCTAAATGTTGCCACTATGATACTTCTGAAAATAAATGCTAAGCCATGCAGAAATAATTTTGAAAGACTAACAGTGCCCACTGATTTCCATTTCCATTGGGTTTACCCCCTGATAATTCAATCCAGGATTGAAGATTGCATAATTCAGTTTGTTCTATTTTAGAGAAATAGAGCCTTACATCAGGAACACTCAGAATCATACTGGAGTTTTGTGGAATCCCTTAGAAATTTTGAGTATTCCTTGAAGCCATGTATGGTAATTATTATTTTTTGCTTGCTTTCAACTCAGTCTTAACTCCTGGCAACTAGTTACAAATACATGCAATCTAGGCCAGTGGTTCTCAACCTTTTCTTCACCACAGACCCCCTTTAAATACCTTTTGTGGCCATGGAAGCCCAAAACTTAACTCAAGATTTAAATCATAGCATTTCTTCAAGCTTTCGCTGACACCCTGTGATGACATCGCCCCCACCCCCAGGGTTCCGCAGATAATGAGTTGAAAACCACTAGTCTTGGCAATATTTTTGGCAGTGATTTACCATTACTTCCTAGGGTTAGATTTTGGCTTCCATGCCTGAATCGGGATAAAGACTCAGGTTTCCCTGCTCCTAAGCCAGCATCTTAACTTTTAGAGCAAACTTTCTAATCATAAGTAGTGTGGGACTGCTTTAGATGTTGTTTTACACCATCAGCAATAATTCCAATTGTTGAAAGTAAGTGTAAGGTTGAAACCTAACAAGAGTTGTAAGTTGTAAAGCTGCCTTTGGGGCATTGTGTGGAAATATACTGTATAAATGAATGAATAACATTAAAAATGTAACTGCTTTCTAGATTGTAATTACTTTTGATGCCAAACAGAATATTTGTAAAGTAAGGTAGTAAAACATTGGTAATTCAGGTCACTGATTGTAATACACTTGATCAAAACATTTCAGCAACTGTCAAAAATATAACTGATCACATTTCAACAAAAATATATATATTCTGGTGTGATATATTTGGCTAAACACAAGTGACTACTACACTTTCCCCCCTTGGAGATGTCCCAGAAGAGTTAGTGGTTTTTTTTATCATCATTCAAATAATCATCTGCAATACCTTTGTGACTTCAATTCTGTTGGAATCTTGTTAAGTTTACATGCAGCTTGGAAGGGAAAATGGATCTACTATGATGGCCAAGTATAATCAGCAAGAAATAATACTGTAACGAAAGGATGGTAATGGTTTTGTCTGTCCATTATTCTAGTAAGTCTAAATAACTTTCCTACATTAAAACCAATTCACCATGATGTGATGTTACCAAATGTACTATAAGGTTTTGCAAGTTTTTTTTTTTAAAGTATATTTAGAACAGTCGACGTGTCTCATTTAAATACTTTTGTTTCTTCTCCTGATTCTTTGAGACTGCCTGGAAACTCACTGCAGTTTTCTGGCAAGTTTTTTCAGAAGTGATTTATCATTGCCTCCTTCCTAGGGCTGAGAGAAAATGACTGGCCCAAGGTCACCCTTTGTGCCTAAGGTGGGACTAGAACTCACAGTCTCCTTGTTTCTAGTCCGATTCCTTCACCACTATACCAAACTGGCTCTCATTTAAGTGAATAGCTCCCCTCTAACCTACACAGATTGTAACTTCTGGCCCTCCTAGCCTGAATTACTGCTAATTTAGTTCAATCAGATTTTTGCAATTTTGATCAAGTTAGGATTTCTTAAGTTAATAGCAAGTTTTTTATTCAAATTCTAATTTTCATTCCTTGTTAGAATTATTGTTAGGTATTCAACCATTGCCTGACTTTTACTTACTGACCAAGTGTATTCCATATTCCAGCAATAGTAATTTTTGAGTTGTGAAGACAGTACATCATGCCTTTCTTTACAGTCATTTTATTTTCATGCTTTAGGTTCACTACACTCGATTACAATACAAATACAATAGAAAATATGTAATGACCATATATTAGTATTTGAGAATTTGAGAAGGATCCCTGAAATGCATAGGCCCTTGGTGTATGAATAATGTTGCACGAGCTTCTGTACAAACATGAATCACATTCCTAATGACAAAGCTCTGATACAGACAAAGAGAGGCACAGAGGGTTGGGACATCCAGGTGTAACTGCAAAAGGCCCTTGAAATGGTAGTACTCATTCAAAGTCTGGACATAGCTTGATGGCTTCACTTAACGGAAACAGATTTCTGAAAGGAAATTCTTAAAGAACAGCAGCTATCATGCCCTGCAAAATGAGCCCAGCAAAACTCCATTCCCCTGGCCTACACTTTGTAGATTTAGAAAGAAAGAAAATAAATAGATTTTACTGTATGTTCCATTGTGTGTTGTAACACTTCTATGCATGTCCACTTCAAGAGCACATCCCATGAAAAACAGGCTTATTTTTGCAATATGCTTTCTATCTGACTTCTCATGCATCTAATACCAGAGGAGAGAAGCAATGTAAAAATTACACCTATAGCAGTGTCATCATTCCAGACAAAATAGAGGAAAAAAAGATGTCCTGTTTGAATGTACAGCATCCCTTGGACCTATGTTAGAATTCTACTCCCTTTCCCACAAAGAGAATACTCTTTCTAAATGTCAGAATCTGAAAATAGGCTGTACAAATGTGGGTGCAGCTGTGGATCTAGGAGCATACTTTCCATTAGTCTTATCCATCAACATGACCTAATTCTACCTTATTTAACGTTTCGTTCTCCTAATATATTGTTCAAAGCTAATGAACCTCCAAATGAATGGAAGTGTTGTGGCTCCGTCTTGTGAGCCCCTCTTATCGGAGGAAGAAGGCTCCAAACATGAAGGAGAGGAGATGGCCAGGCCTCCCTCTCCAGGACCCTCCTCTCTGGCAATGCCTCAGGTGTCTCCCGACGGAGAAGAGATTGACCAGGAGCCAGGTGTTTCTGAGATTGGCCAGGAGCCAGGTGTTTTGGATAGTGATGAAGATAAGTTGTGGCTGGATCCACGCCAGCGTAGGAGCGACAAGCGTGCGCAGCAGAAAAGGAGACGTGCCAGAGATTAAGCTGAGTCACTGGACCACACCCCACAGACTATAAAAGGGAGGTGGTGGCCATTTGGACTCTGTGGCGGACAAAGCTAAATCTCTGGAGAAATAGTTTGCTGTGGACTTAATTTCAAACTGTGTGTATTGTTTTTTGTTTCTGTGTTCTCTGAGTAAAAGTTCTTGGCAGGCAGCTACGGAGCTGCTGCCATGGAGTGTGGAGAAGTTATTTAACCCTCGGCTGGCTGTTTGGGTGTGTGTGTCAGACGGGGACAGAACAGGAAGCCACAGTTCAAGACTGGCCTTTCTAGTGTGATATCTGGGGTTCCACTGAGCCAGACACTTCTCATAGTGTTCACCAAGTTTGCTGTACACCTGTTAATTTTTTTTTTAAAAAAGCTGCTATATTGCAAAACAAATTCCAAATCTATCCGAATTTTACAAGACTCTGGCCTTCACAAGGGATAAAAACTAGGAGGTTGACTGGCTGTATTATGGTAAATCAGTAAGTGCTTTGTAATTCATTTTACCCTGCTCAAATAAGATATTTCTGAAAGAAGGATCCTCCTGGTGGTGTTCTAGTACCATTAAGTTTAATACTCGAGGCAAAGAAATTGACAATGTTCTGGAGGCAGCCATCAAGACACACGTTGAAGGAGAATATTTGGAGAAATGACTCATACCATAAATAGTTTAGGGATGCTAGTTTCTCCTTGCCTCTGCTTCACTGATTTTCCTATAACTATACTTTTCTCGAACTGTAATTATTGGGGAACTACTCTCTCTCTCTCTCTCTCTCTCTGTGGGGTGTTTCTCTTCTGCTGCAGTGCAACTATAGTGTGTGTATAAAAAAACAAGACTTTAGCTCCTGCAGCAACCACATTTTTTTTTCTTTATTGCTTGTCCCTGTAAGACTTCAAGGTAGGGAAGTATGAATGCATGTTTTCCATATAGCTTCAGAGCTAATGCCTCGGAAAGAGATTTGCATCTCTGATCAGCTAAAAGGCAAATTGTGTGACATATTCCTTCAGCATTTCCCTAAACCTGCCACTTTGGCCATATAAGTTATTGAAAGTGACTTCTGCCCACATGGGGGTTTATTCATAGGGAATACATTCCTTTATAGATCAGCATGATTCCCATGTATTTGTGATGGTCCTACAGCTTGATTTGTGGTCTATGTGCTGTCCCTGGCATAGCATCTGATGCTATTCTAATAGCGTACCTTAAATGCTTGATGATGCATTTGTGCTAGATACTTAATAGGCTTGTAAGCTAAATTTTTCCAGCCATGTCCTCTATAAATAACTGCTGTGGAAAGACTCAAGATTCTCTTCATAATGAGGTTTGTAAGCTTTGCAAGCATCAAGATAAATTTACTTCTTTAGAGAATTATATGGCTGACCATTTTATACACAATAAGCAACCACATCTCAGTACAATCATTTTCAAGGGTGCAAAATTACACCACTGAGGGCCTTTTGCTGGGAGAGTAAGAATGTCTACTGGTTTGTTGAGTTTTCTATGAATTCTGGCATATACTAAAACTATAATAAATGACATTCCAGATAAATTCTTGACCAGTGCTGTCCTTGGCTAATGGAAGAGGTAAAATAATGGTACAGCACACACAACTACATAATGTGCATTAATAAGCTATGACAGGTTTGGTATAGTCACTGCAACACCACAACCTGCTTAAGTATTATATTCTGTATTTTACAGACTCCAGAACTCTGCTTTTAATTATCCTGAGTTGAATCAAACAGGAATTACAGTGATAAGACTAATATTGACCAAAATGATCATCTGCTACATTCCGTCCCACCTTCATAAGAGAGAAAACTCTTAAACTGTACTTGCGTGAGAAAATAGGTGGCAGTTTTGCCACCATAATTGCTTCTATATAAGCATCTTATTTGAAAGTAAGGTATTTGCTAGAATTCTTCTATTGCAACCTTAAATTTCCTTGTAATTTAATGTACTACTTGCTTTGAAAAAATTGTTCCTTGGATTAACTGTTTCTTGCCCAGACTTTCAGGAGCTAAGCTTCATACTTATTCCAGTAAATTTCTTACTTTCAGATTATGCAGAAGCAATTACTGTATGGTAAAAATCTCTTGTCCAGTTTCTCATACTCTTGCAATTAAGGGGGCTGGCTATTCCCTTCTTGTGAAGGCAGGACAGAATGTAACTGTTGATTGGTTTGGTAATTGCTGGTCTTATCAGTATAAGGAACAATTCTCACAAAGAATGTGATTTCTGCTATGTGCAAGTAGAAATGTCAAGCAGGAAACCCACATACTTACTAATTTAAGCTCCCTGACTCAACTACAGAACATGGGGCTCCCTATGTAAAATAGTAATAAGTGGTTGCTCAGAGCAGAGAGAAAGCCAGCCTCACTTTAAACTATATTTTAAGAATCTTGGTTACTTCCTGGCAGGACAATGATATTCAATGGGATGGGTTAATATTCTGTTTGCCTAATTTACAGAGCAATTTCTATTGACTGTTATTACAGCAAGCCAAGAGTCACTGACAGACAATACTACTTGCTTTCATCCAGGAAGATCACTCATCTTCATTTGCATACGAGACCTAAGGAAATTAATGAACTTATGCAGTGCAAATTGCACAGAACTATAGCTGCATTTAGGATCTTAAAACAAAGACAGGAGGCACAAAGCGATCTTCATTTATCTTTACAGTGATGCAAAGATTGGATCAGTATGACCACTTAAGATACTACTTTTTTCACTTAAGCTAGAAAATTGGTTGAAAGTTGCACACCTGAGTAGCAACTTTGGCTCAATGCAGTAGTTTACCTGCTTGGAACAATACTAAGATCTTAATTTGTATCAATATTCTCATACCACAAGCATCACCATCTCATTTTTTCACCCAGTAGGTATTACTGTGTAGGTACAATTTTGGCAATTAATCACAAAGTAAGATATTTTAATATTCAATTTTCAATTCAAGTCAAATTAATGGCTGTCTCAACAAGCTGTAAAGCATGTTGGATTGTGGCTCTATGGCATGCTGAATTTTAATATAATTGTTTTAAAGTCCTAATTTATCAGTATATGTATATATATGTTTTGAAAAATGGGCAATGAGGATTTTTTTAATATCCCTTTCTCCTAAATTCTTGTTCTATAAAAATCTTTGGATTGGTTTCTAAACTACAATGCATATTATAATAATTAGTATCTTCACACCCTGGAAGAATTTGATAGTATACCAAAGGACTCTCTTCCTCTGATTGCCAGGCTTTGCCCTCAGCAATGACATAATGACAGTGACATAATGAGAGTTTCAGTAGTATGCAATCTGGCCTTTACTGTCTTGATAATCCTTTGCTCATCTGCCATATTTTGGCAGATCCATCAATGACATGAATACATGCTGAAAGATAAGTGTTAGATTTAACTGCTCAAAGGTTGCCAACCAACAATCACAATGGATGGGAAAGGGAGAAGGTTTTTACTGTCTTGCCAAGGTAATCCATTGCATTTGGTCATGTTCTTTGATTTTCTGCAAGTTCCACCTCAAAAAAGAAAAAAAAGAAAAAAAAGAAGTGACATTGACACATTTAGCTATTCTGTTGCTAGGTCTCCATAGTTTTGCATGCATGTGGTAGCTGTGGTGCTATTTGAGTATGAGCTCTTTCAGAGTCCATGTTATCTGACTTTGCCCTTGACAGGAGGACATTTCCCTTCTCTGAAACCATGAGGACATCCATAACATTGCTTTGGCAGTATAGAAAATCCCTAAACATTAAACATTTGGCCTGCGAGTCTTGAAATGGCATATAAACAACTAAGAGGAAGCAGCACACAGGAAAGGCCATAGCAAACAATCATGCAAGTGATATTATGCAATTGAGGGCAGGGCCTTGCTTGTAATAGTGACTATTATCTCAGACAGTTATGTTTGTTCATAGGTGTGAGTGTGTATATAAAGGATCACTGATAAATTGAAATTTAAGAGATTAAAAAAAAACTTCAGGGGTGATGGCACTTCAGAGCAGATTGGCACATAACAGAAGGGAAAATTTGTTCTGTTCTCGTGCTTGCTATATGGTTGACACTGAAGTTTGTGCCAAGGCTCACGAGTCACATGGGAAGAAAGTCAAGAAGATTAGAGGTTAATTGAATTGGTCCCTAAGGTGAAGGTCCTCGTAACTGCTGGCACAGAGGTGGGGCTGAGGTTTCCAAGGGAAGGCCTTGCTGTTGGTATCCATAGTTAACATTGCCACAAGGAAAATGGCGGAGCCTGAAGAGAGGCACTTCCTTAACACTGGCTGTAAGTGAAGATGGTTCTAGAAGAAGGGAAGAGCTTGGTAGCCTTCCAGCCATTATGCTGGGCCCCAAAGTACAGCTGCCTTCCTGTGTTGAATCTTCCTGCTCTGTTGCCTCTTTCTCCAGCTGAGAAGTCTTTTTGACAATTGGCTGCTCTGAAAACCAAGAGCCATATGTTGGGTTCCAGAGGTTGGTAGGCTTATTTCTGGACCCCCTGGTTTTGTGGAGCTCTGTTGCAGGGATTGATTGAGTGTATGCCATGTTGACATGCCCCCCTTCTAGGGAAGTCTGGATGTTTGCCTGGGTAATTGGCTCAATAGTAGCTGCTTTCAGGAGAGCTTTTCCTGCTGGAATGACAAAAGGGAGAGATGATGGGAAAGGCGGGAGCTGCTCAGCACCCTTTTTGTCTCGCTGTGGCAACACTAACAGAGGAGGAATTGCTTTAGGATCTTCAGGACGCACAGGAACCTTTTCTTCTTCTTCAATGCATGGACCATACTCCACGGGCAGAATTGTATTGATGACATCAGGATCCTATAGGGAAGGAGAGACAGTATTTCAACATGCATTTATCTTCCAATTATGATATTAAAAAAAAAGTAGTGGAATAATATATTTTTGTTCATAAAGGGAGATATTCTCTTTCTCATCTTCCTGACAATATTAAAATTCACAATTTCACAATAAAATTGTTAGGCATAAAATGAGACTGATAAAGGAATTATTCTTTCATATAAGTAAAAAATGTATGGATTCCATGTCTTCCATGTGGAGCCATGCTCAGGAGTGTATTCCTTAAGTCAGCAGCACCTTTTTCTTATGCTCACGAAACTAGTTAAGTTGCTTTAAGAAGAGCAGAGAAGGCCTGCTCTTCTCTTAAGGAGATGCATAATCCAAAGAACTTATTTCAAATAATTTTTGAAATGTGCACAATCTCACTGTGGTTGATCGGCCCCCTACTAAAAAGAATATAGTATTTAATGGACTATTGACATGATAGGAATTGATTAAAATAAAACAATTTTTTTCCAGATATACAGTATTAGGACTGGGGAGAAGAAATATTTAACAGATCCTTCCCTGTGCTTCTGACCTGCAGCTCCATGAGGACCACCAACTACATCTAGAAGACGATAAGACTGTCTTCGAAAGATATGCTGGGGATATACCCAGGGCTTTTTTTGTCATAGAACGCCCAGAACGGAGTTCCGACACCTTTTTTGGATGGAACCTTGTAGGGTAGGCAAGGCGTTGGTGTGATGTATGTGAGTTCCAGCACCTTTTTTTTTTTAACAAAAAAAAGCACTGGATATAACTACTCTGATTGTGTTGGGTTCTGTTTTTAAAATCTTTACCCACTTTGGGTGTATTAAACATGTAAGAGAAAATGATGTGGGATGGGTATATGTGAACCTGGAGTAGCTTTTTCTAGTGCAGTGACTTCAAGTTGTGCCTGCACTAGCAGCCAAAAAACAATAGTTTGGGAGAACCAAATACAAAGAACTCCAAGTGTGCTGAAGATTTATGATCTATTCAGGAAGGACAATAAAGGCCATAGATAAGTATCTATCAAAGCTAACCATTCATTTTAGATATGGGTGGCCTATTCTTTATGTGGTTGTGAGATGATTTGAACTATTCTTTCAACAATTGTTTGCATTCCACACTTGCCTTGCTAAGTGTGAAATTTAAGAAAAAGATATTATCAGTACATTATACTTGGTAGGCTTGGCATGTTTCCCTTTTGTATTTTCCTGCACCCGGTCACACACAGTGATGGAGCCTGAGAGAAATGGTTACCTGGGTGCAGTATTCAATCCTCTCCAGAACAATGGCAAAATCTGGCCTGTCTTCTGGCTGGTGTTGCCAGCATTGGGTCATAATTCGATATCTACAACAGTAGAAGGAGAAAATGGCACTAAAGGACAGATTTAACTTGACACTCAGTTTGTTACAGCATAAGAGGAAATAGTATCACAATGGATTTTTTTATATTACCATTCAAAAATGAATTTTTGATCCTTGTCAATTAGTATCATAGCTGCAATTTGGATGATGACAATAGAATGGCATTCAGAATTGCTTGACTAAAACTGGGCTAAAACTAGGTGCTTAAACTAGACTAAGCTATATAGCAATAGCAATAGCACTTAGACTTATATACCATTTCACAGTGCTTTACAGCCCTGTCTAACAGTGTACAGAGTTTGCATATTGCCCCCAACAATTTGGGCCCTCCTTTTACCAACCTTGAGGCGGTGAGACTCGAACTGCGGAACTGTTGGCAACCGGCAGTCAGCAGAAGTAGCCTGCAGTACTGCATTCTAACCGCTGTGCCACCATGGGTCTTTGGGATATTGCCTAAATAACATACATTTTGTGTGTGTGTGTGTGTGTGTGCGTGTGTGTGAGTGTGAGTGTGTGTCTTTGAGTCATAGTTGACTCTTGGCAACTGCTTGGGTTAGTCTCTGAACTTTTCTGGCAAGATTTTCAGAAGTAGCTTGCCATTGCCATTTTGTTCGGGCTCAGAGAGACTGAATGGGCCAAGGTCACCCAACTGGCTTTGTGCCTAAGGTGGAACTAGAGTTCACAATCTCCTGGTTTCTAGACTGATGCTTAATCACTACACCAACTAGGCCTCTAACATCTATCTATATAAGAAAAAAAATGTGGAATCTTTGATTAGCAGTTTCTTAGAAGCATGAACTTATTTATTCCATACATCTATATAGTTACCTATAAGTAAATAAATTAAAATTACATTATTTACCAAGAAAAGGTATTGAATTAATACTAGATTATAAGAACTTTGAATAGCAGAGTATCTATTGATTAGGATGGGCTACAATGGCTATTAATCAAAAATGGGCATCTCTTGAACCAAGCTAGAACAGCCATCCTACATCCTAATGTGTAATGAATCTATTATTCCAGATGGTGATTCTGAGCCAAAATGGCATCATCTGCGTATGTTAATTTTGGGGGAACACAATGTTGCAGAATTACCACAAATTTCTAAAAAATAAGAAACTCCCTAAACAGTTTATTTTCAATGGTCTCTGAATGCTGATTGCTTAGTACCAAGGAAAGGAGTTCTTTACATCCTACAACCCTTTGCTCGTAACATTACTTGTTTTATCAGACAGATGCCCTGCACATGGGTCTGACCGATTATATATACACATAGCCAAAAAAATTCCAGAAACTAAAGACATTTAGCCTTTGGCATGCGCCTATGGGGCATGAAAGTTTACTTACACAGGGCCAGGACAGTTTTTGGGTGGATCCATCCTTCCCCCACTTGTGACGAATTCCAAGACCTCCTGGTTACTTTTGCTGGGATAGGGCATATATCCAAGCGAGAATATTTCCCACAGCAACACTCCAAATGACCTGGACACANCAGAGGTCGGCCCCAAGGCCCCTAACTTGTGGGGTGCCACAAGGGTCGGTCCTCTCCCCCTTACTGTTCAATATTTATGTGAAGCCGCTGGGGGAGATCATCCGTGGCTTTGGGGTGGATTTCCATCAGTACGCTGATGATACTCAGCTGTACATTTCCACCCCAGGCCACCCCAATGATGACCTTGACGTGATGGCCCGGTGTCTGGAGGCCGTACGGGTCTGGATGGGGAGAAACAGACTCAGGCTCAACCCTTCCAAGACTGAGTGGCTGTGGTTACCGGCTCCCAGGTATGGTTAGCTGACTCCATCGCTGACTATAGGGGGCAAAACTTTGGCCCCCTCGGAGAGGGTACGCAATTTGGGGGTCCTCCTGGATCCACGGCTGACGCTGGAAGACCAGCTGACGGCTGTGGCCAGGGGGGCATTTTACCGGGTACGCCTGGTGCACCAGTTGCGGCCTTTTCTGGACCGGGATGCCTTGCGCACAGTCACCCATGCTCTTGTCACCTCCCGCCTGGACTACTGTAATGCTCTCTACATGGGGCTTCCCTTGAGGAGCACTCGGAGGCTTCAGTTAGTCCAGAATGCGGCCGCGCGGGCGGTGATGGGAGTCGCTCCCATGTAACGCCGCTGTTGCGCGAGCTGCACTGGCTGCCTGTGGCCTTCCGAGTGCGCTTCAAGGTGTTGATTATCATCTTTAAAGCGCACCATGGCATTGGACCTGGTTACCTCCGAGACCGCCTTCTGCCACAGATTACCTCCCACTGGCCGATACGCTCCCACAGAGAGGGCCTCCTCAGGGTGCCGTCAGCCAGACAGTGTCGGCTGGCGACCCCCAGGGGGAGAGCCTTCTCTGTCGGAGCACCCACCCTCTGGAACAAGCTGCCCCCAGAGATCCGGGTGATTCCGGATCTCCCCTCCTTCCGCCACGCCCTCAAGACTTGGTTGTTTCAGCGGGCAGGACTGGCCTAGGGGCATTTTAAATTGGTTTTAACTAAATTTTATTAGAAGCGGCCTATTTAAATATTTATTTTTAATCATTTTCTTAAATTTTGTATTGTATTGTATAAATTGTTTTTAAACTGGCTGTAAGCCGCCCTGAGTCCTCCGGGAGAAGGGCGGGGTATAAATATAATAATAAAATTCAAATTCAAATTCAATTAAGTCAGCTGTACCTTTTTCTTATGCTCACGAAACTAGTTAAGTTGCTTTAAGAAGAGCAGAGAAGGCCTGCTCTTCTCTTAAGGAGATGCATAATCCAAAGAACTTATTTCAAAATTTTTTTGAAATGTACACAATCTCATTGTGGTTGATCGGCCCCCTACTAAAAAGCATATTGTATTTAATGGACTATTGACATGATAGGAATTGATTAAAATAAAACAATTTTTTCCCAGATATACAGTATTAGGACTGGGGAGAAGAAATATTTTACAGACCCTTCCCCGTGCTTCTGACCTGCAGCTCCATGAGGACCACCAACTACATCTAGAAGATGATAAGACTGTCTTCGAAATATATGCTGGGGATATAACCAGGGCTTTTTTTGACATAGAACGCCCAGAACGGAGTTCCGACACCTTTTTTGGATGGAACCTTGTAGGGTAGGCAAGGCGGGTGGTATGATGTATGTGAGTTCCAGCACCTTTTTTTTTTAACAAAAAAAAAGCACTGGATATAACTACTCTTTACCCACTTTGGGTGTATTAAACATGTAAGAGAAAATGATGTGGGATGGGTATATGCGAACCTGGAGTAGCTTTTTCTAGTGCAGTGACTTCAAGTTGTGCCTGCACTAGCAGCCAAAAAACAATAGTTTGGGAGAACCAAATACAAAGAACTCCAAGTGTGCTGAAGATTTATGATCTATTCAGGAAGGACAATAAATGCCATAGATAAGTATCTATCAAAGCTAACCACCCATTTTAGATATGGGTGGCCTATTCTTTATGTGGTTGTGAGATGATTTGAACTATTCTTTCAACAATTGTTTGCATTCCACACTTGCCTTGCTAAGTGTGAAATTTAAGAAAAAGACATTATACTTGGTAGGCTTGGGCATGTTTCCCTTTTGTATTTTCCTGCACCAGGTCACACACAGTGATGGAGCCTGAGAGAAATGGTTACCTGGGTGCAGTATTCAATCCTCTCCAGAACAATGGCAAAATCTGGCCTGTCTTCTGGCTGGTGTTGCCAGCATTGGGTCATAATTCGATATCTACAACAGTAGAAGGAGAAAATGGCACTAAAGGACAGATTTAACTTGACACTCAGTTTGTTACAGCATAAGAGGAAATAGTATCACAATGGATTTTTTTAATATTACCATTCAAAAATGAATTTTTGATCCTTGTCAATTAGTATCATAGCTGCAATTTGGATGATGACAATAGAATGGCATTCAGAATTGCTTGACTAAAACTGGGCTAAAACTAGATGCTTAAACTATATAGCAATAGCAATAGCACTTAGACTTATATACAATTTTACAGTGCTTTACAGCCCTGTCTAACAGTGTACAGAGTTTGCATATTGCCCCCAACAATTTGGGCCCTCCTTTTACTGACCTTGAGCCGGTGAGACTCGAACTGCGGAACTGTTGGCAACCGGCAGTCAGCAGAAGTAGCCTGCAGTACTGCATTCTAACCACTGTGCCACCATGGGTCTTTGGGATATTGCCTAAATAACATACATTGTGTGTGTGTGTGTGTGTGTGTGTGTGTGTGTGTGTGTGTGTGTGAGTGTGAGTGTGTGTCTTTGAGTCACAGTTGACTCTTGGCAACTGCTTGGGTTAGTCTCTGAACTTTTCTGGCAAGATTTTCAGAAGTAGCTTGCCATTGCCATTTTGTTCGGGCTCAGAGAGACTGAATGGGCCAAGGTCACCCAACTGGCTTTGTGCCTAAGGTGGAACTAGATCTCACAATCTCCTGGTTTCTAGACTGATGCTTAATCACTACACCAACTAGACCTCTAACATCTATCTATATAAGAAAAAAATGTGGAATCTTTGATTAGCAGTTTCTTAGAAGCATGAACTTATTTATGCCATACATCTATATAGTTACCTATAAGTAAATAAATTAAAATTACATTATTTACCAAGAAAAGGTATTGAATTAATACTAGATTATAAGAACTTTGAATAGCAGAGTATCTATTGATTAGGATGGGCTACAATGGCTATTAATCAAAAATGGGCATCTCTTGAACCAAGCTAGAACAGCCATCCTACATCCTAATGTGTAATGAATCTATTATTCCAGATGGTGATTCTGAGCCAAAATGGCATCATCTGCGTATGTTAATTTTGGGGGAACGCAAGTGTTGCAGAATTACCACAAATTTCTAAAAAATAAGAAACTCCCTAAACAGTTTATTTTCAATGGTCTCTGAATGCTGATTGCTTAGTACCAAGGAAAGTTCTTTACATCACAACCCTTTGCTCCTAACATTACTTGTTTTATCAGACAGATGCCCTGCATATGGGTCTGACCGATTATATATACACATAGCCCAAAAAATTCCAGCAACTAAAGACATTTAGCCTTTGGCATGCGCCTATGGGGCATGAAAGTTTACTTACACAGGGCCAGGACAGTTTTTGGGTGGATCCATCCTTCCCCCACTTGTGACGAATTCCAAGACCTCCTGGTTACTTTTGCTGGGATAGGGCATATATCCAAGCGAGAATATTTCCCACAGCAACACTCCAAATGACCTGGACACAGAAAAGCAAGAAATAAAAACCACAGGTTTATATGCGGAAATCTGAGCAAAATTATCTAAACAGTAGGACCATTTTCGCAAAGCCCTTTCTGTTGCATTCTTTCTAACTATTCTCTGTTGGTGGCTTTGGATCTATTTCTTTTTATTGTGGCATCTATTTGACAAGCTTTATTATTTGGCAGAAGAAAAAGGCCTGCTTAAAAAACTTTTTTGGCTTCCATCAGACCGAAAAAGTAAAATAAAATGTGGGTAGTGATTTTTGAACCCCCCCCCCCAAGCAGCCGTTTGCTTGCAAAAGGGAATGAAAATTCTGAGCGAGCCTACCAGGTATCTGTTTTTGATGTAAATATTCCCTCCATGAAGGCTTCAGGTGGCATCCATTTGACAGGCAGCATCGCACACCCTCCTTTTCTGTAGTAGCTAGCTCTGCAGTCGAGGCAAGAATATTAACAAGAGTTAAGTATTGGCTCCTTCAGCAGCTGATTGAAGTGGGTGGCTCCGAGAGCTATGCTGATGGCAGCAGTGAGACTTTTCCCCCCCCTCTTTCTGAAACAACAGGGCAAATTCTCCCTTTTGTAAGAAGAAGAAGAAAAAAAGGGGAGGGGGAATATCCATCTTTTACTTTTCTAAACAAGGGAAATGGCATTTGTGATTATTTGTTAGGTATAATTACACCCTTAAATGTGCTTTAAGCAATCGTTCCATTCTTCAATGGCAACAGTTTGAGTATGAGGAACCAAACTGTGACTATAATTGCAATGTGGGATCAGGTGAGGATTTCAGGGACGTACCTGCTTTCAAGAAAGCAGGGGGGGGGGCATTTCTGTCATGTGTGGGTTCAAAGCTTTCTCCCACAGAGCAAATGGAGACTTTGGGAGTAGAGGCAGAGCTTAATCAGGAATAGTGTGTGGAAAAGGAGATTTGAAATCTTTATAAGGCAGACCATAAAACACAAGTCTTAGAATTTGACCTAGAAATCTATGAAATTATTACTAAGTAAATTTCTAATGTAGAAGAAGAGGACATTTTAAGGCATTTACCAAAAGGAAGATGGCCTTAGATCTCAGCAGAGCCCCATAAATAAGGAAAAACAAAATGCTGTCCAATGTTTTTCATATTTTGTCCATCTAGATATGCCAACTCTATATGCATCCATTACTGGAGATCATCCACCAATAAATAAATAAATGTTTGTAGGTAACACATTCCACACAAATAATATTGCATTAATTCATTATTAATGAAATGAACAGTCTGCAAAATAATGTACTCCATTTGCAAGTCAATTAATCCTTTTCTGTTGTGCCTTTCTTTCTCACTATTTACCCAAAATCACACAATGCAACATACACATGAAACACACAGACTGACCTCTTTTCTTCCAGTAAAAAAATTTTTTTTTTGGGGGGGGAAGAGAAAGTAAAGTGGTGACTGAATAAAAAGAATAAAGAATAGGTTTAAAAAAAAACCTGGAAAGAACCAAAGCAGGAGCATGGAATAATGCAACAGAAAAAGAAAAGGGGAGAAGAATCCAATTAGGGTTACAAAGAATTGAAATTCCCCAGCCCTTCCAAGCAGGACATGAGCTTCCTGCTCATCTTCAAAGAGATCTTCTTCCTAGTAGAAAGCTCATAGCCACCTTTGGCAAACCTTGATTTCCAAAAAAATTCTTCTTTTCAATAGCTTTTACTATTCTCAGTAGGAGAATATAAGGTCTCCCATCAATTCACATTTGGGAGAAAATTTGTCTTCCTATCTGGTAAATATGTAAATACATAATTGGAGTGTAATGATATTAATCACATGTAGTTTTAATTTAGTTTAAATTCAGAGGAATAAAAGTGAATCTAGTTTTCCTCCTAGCACCATCCACTTCAACATATGGTCCCATTCAAGGCTGGGAAAAGCTGTACAGTAATGCTTTAGTCTGGATCTGGGTTCTCCTACCCTTCCTTAATTATTTATTTTCACAGGACAGCGGATCTGATTATGGCTCTTGCCATCTTGTACTTGTGTTTTGGTGGTCCTGTGACAAAACTGCCCTTATTTTGGGCTCATCTGACAAAGGAAAGGCAGAAATGAGGTTATCTCATTTGCAACTTGGGCTGATTTGAGCCATGGTGTTTTATGCAGATATTATAATCTGGAACTCTCCAACTCCTTTGGGACTATGGATTTTGCCATTGCTAGCCAGCACTGCCTAAAATAATACTAGGAATTATAGATTCACCTTGGTTGCTTGATATACAATAAGCCCAACATATAATAAACCTCATTGTCTTGCAATGAATAATCCAAACAATTCACTTCTTTTTCGTTTTGCATCTTTACTACAAAGAATGCATTTTCAAAGGGAAGTTTTCAACTTGCAAAATGTCAAGAAAATCCCCTTATCCAACCCTACTTATAAATAGTCCAAGTTTTTGGTTTGTTGCCAGAATCAATACTGTACAGAAATATGCAGTGAAGTAATTCTCCAGGATGACATTAGAGGGCACTGTGAGGACAGTAACTGTACATTATCAATAAGATCTACTGTATTATAGTAGATTATTAAAGTCTTCCTGTTTAGCAACTGCAGAATCATTAATCCTGGTGCCCTGGAGAAATTCCAGAGTCAGTAATTACATTCTCCTGACCCTTTATCCCTACTTTTATATGCGATAAACAGAGAGAGTAGTGGAAGAATGTGTATGGGTCTGGTCAACACCAAAGGGGATAAAGCTTCAAGATAAGATCCTGCTGCTTGGTATGAGAAAAATAGAGAAAACAAGGTTGGAGAGGATTCTGTTTCAACACAATACTGAAAGTGGTTGATAAAATAACAATAAAAGTAAGCCAAGGAAATTCCACAGAATGAACATAGAATTGTAGTGAAGACAGCATACATATCTCTCTGAGACCTCAAAATATAAACATCTGAAAAAGACCAATGCATACAATGAAATAAATCCTGTGGAAGCCTACATTCATTCACTCACTCACTCCTCAGAGAGAGAGAGAGAGGGGGGGGGAGGGAGGGTGGGAGGGAGGGAGGAATTATATAAAGCAGTGGTTCTCAACCTTTTTAATGCCGCGACCCCCAACCGGTCGTAAGTCGAGGACTAAACTGGTCATAAGTTGAGAACTACCCAACCGGTCGTAAGTCGAGGACTTTCCCTGCCTGGGAGCGCCGTGCATGCGTGGTTCCGCCCCCTGCGCTGGCTGAGGCATAGCTGGCAAGCGGCAGAGACGGAGCAGGCCGACCACCAGTCCAGCCCAAGGGAGGTAAGGCACCCGCCGGAAAAGGGGAAAAAAATGGCGGACAGCCATAGGTTGAGAACTGCTGATATAAAGGAATGTTATATATTCCCTTATAGAAATTATAATAAGAAATAATAAGTAATATTTCTCACCTATATATGTCCCTGGCCATCCCAAAATCTCCAATTTTAGCTATTCTTCCAGGACCTTTACACGTAAGGAGGCAATTTCGAGCAGCAATGTCTCTAGAGAAAGAACAATTGGCTGTTTTAAAAAATAATTAATAAAATTAAATCTGAATAGTAACCTAGACAGACCAGCTGTTCACTTACTAGAAAGCTAAAGATAAAACTACTATTGTTAAAATAATTGAGCACACTCATTTTCCAAATAGGAAAGCTAAAATAGAAAATCCATAAGTAGAAGACTTCAAACTTGTTTTGAAAAAGAATAATTTGCATATAAGCCATTTTGAGCTCCTGATGGAAAGGCAGAATATAAATCTGTTCAAGAAATTAAAAATATATATAATGCCTCTGTTCCTTCTTCTTTTTTATGTTCAAAGCAGCAGACCTCTAGGGGGTGGTAGTACACAACCATTGTTGTCAGTGGCTTGTATACTAACCTGATGCAAGTCAGCCACACAACACACACACAGAGAGAATGGTCCTTCGCAATATTAGCTTCTCCTACTGACCTGTGAATGAAGTGATTTTCTTCCAAATACTGACAACCACAAGCAATATCACGAGCTACATGGAGCAAATCCAGCATGATTAGTGAGGAGGGATGGGTCTAAAAGGAAGAATCAAAGAATTATTTCAGGAGTATACTACTGATTTAAACAATCAAAAATGGCTTACAAGAATTTTTTTTTAAAATGTGCAATCATAGAATCTGTTAGAATCAGTTGTTGCTAACAGTTGTTGCTAAGTGTATATATTTTCTTTTTTTCAAAAAAGCACATTTTAGGTCACATTATTGCAATTTTAAACGCTTCTTCTTTCTTGTTCCCTGTATTTCACAGGGACTATCCTCTTGTTTTCTGGGCATCCTATTTTTCTCTACTTTCTTTGTTGCTAATAAACAATTTTAGGCAAAGTAAGCATGAATAAAGAGACAAATTTTCTAATTAGCAGAAGGTTGAGTGAACAATCTTTGAAGTCACTTCCAACTAAATATACGGTATTACATCACAACTTTAATTTCTGGTTCTCAAATTAGCTCCCCCTCCCCCTTTTTTTCTTACTACAGAACCTAAATTCTTGAAGAGGAAGCATGAAACTATAAAATAAAAAGAACAGTTCTCAAATATTTTCTTTCCATTTCAAGAACCCAGGAAATTATTTGACAGAACGCAGCATGTATCCTGTTTTGAAAGGCAGATTTCCTCCAGATCAGATCCTGTACAGATATAGACCAACAGAGACCACCAAGGAAATTATTTCTGGCATGATATGCAGCATTTCTAGATTTTGATAGTCCAGGGTCAGACAAGATTATAAACAAAAATATTTTTCATTGGACAGCTGCAAAAATATCAATATAATTAAACCAGTCCTGCCCTATTTTGTGATACCAAAACACCTCATCTCCTCAAATTCCTTTTAGAAATTTTATTTTTTATATTTTTATATTTATTCATTTTATTTTTTCAACTGATTCCCTAAATCCTCATTCTTTTCAAAATAGAAACATGATGTCTCTATGTTCCTTCGTAAAACATTTGCATTTGCAAATCCAGCATTGAGTAAAATAATTACTAGGCATGTGTTATTCTTTTTAGGAAACCTGAAAAACCACATGCAGGAAAATATTGCAATAAAACAATTTCTGCCAGTCTGAATTTGAGAATGAATGAGAATGTGAAGGGTCAAATAATTAAGCATTGTAGAAAATGGTCAGACAAGAACATCCACGTTCATTTTCACTGAATGCTCCAGATTGTTGATTCTCATCCTAGATGGCCAATACCCCTGGCCTCTGTCCCCGAGTGTGACATGCTCCAGCTCATGTATTCATTTATTAAATTTTAATCCCCAATTAAAAGTAAATTTGTAGAAAACCAAAAAGCAAGCCTAGGAAAAAGTCAACCAGGCAGGGAGTTCTGAATCAACAAATAGTAAATGTCTACTTAACATTACACTAGAACAGTGGTGGCGAACCTATGGCACGCGTGCCAGAGGCAGCATGCGGAGCACTCTCTGTGGGCACGCGCCATTGCCCTAGCACACGTGGTCTCTAAAAGTTCACCATCACTGGCCTAAGGCCAGCCAGCCTGGAGCCATCATTGGGGAGCCCACCATCCCACCCGCCAGATACCCCCTGGATCTTCCCCAACCCTGCCCGACTCCCACAGATGTCCCTCCCCATAAGCAACATCAAGGTGGCCATGCCCACTCCAGCCATGCCCACCCAATCTGCCATGACTACTGCAGACACACCCATCCAGTGGCCACGCCACCTAGTCTGCCAAGCCCACTGTAACTGCACCCGCCGAGTGGGCCACACCCACCCGGCACCCGGCGATACATAAGTGGGTTTTGGGTTGCAGTTTGGGCACTCCGTCTCTAAAAGGTTTGCCATCACTGCACTAGAGATATTTATCTTCAATGTGCTTTTTAAGATGTTTGCTCTGTCTATTACAGTATATTACTGTTCTGGAAGGTCAGTTACTCTATGTTTGATACATCTTGGGACAAGTCCCTTATATTAGGAGCAAATGTATCCCAATTTGTTATCTGCTCTAATCCTGCATTATCCTTTTTTTTTCCTTTTGAAGAGATCCTTTTCAAAACACTTTGTTTTGAACATCTCTATATTTTTTTTTCTCCTTTGCTGCTGAATGGTTTATCAGTGACTACTTAAAGTAGCAAAATATTTTTTCTGCATTTTCTTTTTTTTACTGTTTAAAAAGATAAGGTAACTTTATTTATTGCTTGTGAAATTGTTCTATCTTCAAAAGGTGATGCTTTGGATCTTCATCTTCTGTATAGCAACATCAGGAGCTAGACATCTGAAAAGCTTTAATCCAGCTGTGTCATAAACACCATCAGTATTTTAAAAGAACTTCAGCTCTCCCTCAGTAGCATGTGGAGTACCATCTGACCTGGCCCCCTCCCCATAATTTGGCACTATATTGTCAATCATTTTATATTTTCTATCACTGTGGTTTTCTTGGTTAAAATATAGGAGTGGTTCACCATGGTTTTTCTCTGTGCAGTATGATTTGATGCTTTTCCATTGTCACTAAAGTGATCATCTATGTCCTGCTGTCCAGTATAGGTGCCTGCTTGCTTTAACTGGGCAGATGGAATGACCTTGATACATTGGGCGACCTTGCTGAGAAATATACAGTTGACATACCCTCCAGATCTTCTTTGCTCATCCCTCCCAGGAACACCCCCCCTCCTTTGCCATGACGAGGCAGCACAGCAGACCTTTGTGGGTGGTGGTGGTGGTGGTGATTGAAAATAGACTATATATGTTTTATTTAACATTTTATGCAAAGCTTTTGTCACAGTTTGGTTTAAGGGAAAAGGAAAACCTCTTGTACTGCCTTTTATTTTATGTCTGTTGAAGTAGAAGCTCTTTCTCCACCAAGGGCAATTTAACAGAGTAATTTGTTTGAGATGTGAAGCGTTTGCACCCATTTTGTAGAGAGAGGCAGAGTGCAGGGATAGCCTTGAAATGCTGAGGAAATTCATTTTCCAGTTCTTGGCTGCTCTTACTTCACTCAGATGAAAGAATGAGGCAGTCAGCTAGAAAGAATGTAGCCGCCATTTGCAGGAATAGGCTGGGAAGAGTTAAAGTAACACCTTCCCTTGTTAGGTCAAACTTTGTAAAAGGTGACTGCAAAACAAATTGATTCCATTGTTCAGTATAATCACTGCTCTGAGCACCAAGCTGCACAACACAACGGAGGGAAATTAATGCTTTTCTTCGCCAAACTTCTCCCGATTGTTTTTCTAATGCACAGAAAGCTTTTAACTGCTTAGGAGATAGTTTTATGTTCTGAGCTTCTGTTCATTTCAGTTCCGAGGATATGAACAGTCGTGTATTTATACCTCTATTAGTATCATATTCTTGCAGGAATAAGATCTTTCCATTAAAAATGTTCTGAATTAAATTGAAATGGACTTGGAAGAACTGAAAGAAAAATAGTAAGTCTAGCTAAAAAAAACCCAAAACAAATAAAGCATGGTTTGAGTAAGCTTTTAGTTTATCACAAGGGTAGGCAGCATTCAGCTTCTTTTGTAGCCATGAGAGAGCTATTAAAAATCATGCCACCAGCATTTAAAAGCAAAATCTTTGTTTAAAGAGAAATTATATGAAAATAAAGCATACTGTAGTGGGTAAGGCATCATGCTATAAACTGGGAGACTGTGAGTTCTCGTCCTGCCTTAGCATGAAATCAGTTGGGTGACATTGAGCCAGTCACTTTCTCTTAGCCCTAGAAAGGAAGCAATGGCAAACCACTTCTGAAAAACGTTGCCTGGAAAACTGCATGAACTTGTCCAGGTAGTCTTCAAAAATTGGACATGATTAAATGGAAGGAAAATTAGGCTTAAAAAGTCTATTTTATTTTTAAAAAGCTCTAAGTCTCCTAAAAATAAAATGATGCCAATGCCCATGCCAACATTCTAATTCTAGATTTACATATGAGCATCTTAAACAGAACTTTTTCTTAACAATGCATAATTTGACTGTGGCTCAGAGGCTTTTAGCATTGGTGTGGACACCTATATACCAAGTTGTTGTTGTTTTCAAATGTGCTATGATCCTTTTGGTCTTCTTTTCATCTCTTGTCATATCCATCCATTAACTTATGTTCAGTATTGACTTTACACCTTAAAGTATTTTCTGAAAAATCTCCACCTTTTTGAATAAAAACAAATCCATCATCTATTAGCCTTTTCCCAGAGATGTATCTAAAATCTGCTTTAGTATATCTCTGATGTTATGTACGAGCAATTTGGTTTTATTTTGGTTCATGTGGAAGTAGGTCTCTTTTAGACATTTGGTTTGTGTCAAAAAGTTTCCCAGTGCCTAACAAATCTCAACCCTTCTACCTGGCACTATCATTACATGCATGCATTGAGATCCATGGAATTTGCATTTCTGATAATGCTGTATAGACAATTCTGAGCTTCGCTCTTCTACTCAGTAGTGTAATTTGCTTTGCAAAACTGACCAATCATATTTTCTAACATCACTGATACCAATGTGGACCATTATCACTACCTTCTGTGCATTATCCATAGCTTATCTAGATGATGCTTGATGTCAGCAACCTTCACACCAGGGAAGCAAGTCACCCTCTGTACAACCTTCACACATTCACCTGTCTGGGTTTGTAATGATTATTAAACTAGGTTTAATTGTTATGATTATTTCAGTGTTCCTTCCCCTGCTCTCATCTCTCACTCAGCTCCCTTGAAAATCTCCTGTAAACACTTTCTGATCTCTATTTCTGGTTGCAGACTCTTGGCTATCTCTCCTCTTCCAAGGAGTTCTGTCTTCTGTAGTGATACTGATGCCACATTCCTTAGTGGAAAATTGCTTTCAACAGTTGCAGAAAGATTGCCTGCTCTGGTCTATGCCATTAACGGTATTCATAGATCTCTCTCTCTTCCCTGTGTATACAATGCCCTTATGCTTTCATTAAAACCTGTGTGCATGAGAATTCATTTCTTCTGGTTTTCTTGTTCATAGGCCAAGTTTGAGGTGAAAGTGATCATTTAAAGAATATTTCACTCACAATGAAATGAGTATGTTTTCTTTGTTTTTTTGTCTTGTGAACTAGCAAAATTAGAAATGCCCTGAAAAACTAGAAACTAAGAAGCAAAAGAACTGGGAAAGTTTAACCTTGAGAAAAAAATGACTGAGCTGGATGTAATAGCACACTTCAATACCTGAAAGGATGATGCACAGAAGATCAAGACCTCTTCTTTACCACCAAAAGTGCAAGACACAAAATAATGGATTTAAGTTACAGGAAGTAGAATCCAGTTGAATGTAAGACACGGGAACTAATTACCTACAGAAGTTGTGCTTGCTCCTTTATCCCAAGTTTTCAAAGAGAGGCTATGCCACTGATTTAACCACACAGTGTACATTATAACAAAATGCCAATGGTACAAAAATATATATCACACAGCATAATATATAAAGTAATATTGAATAAAATCAAAATATCATCACCACCATCAACCAACACCACTAACAGCAGCAAAAGCAGCAACAAAACAATTAACCAATGATATAATTCTTCAAAGATTTCTGGAAGAGTTGGGTTTCCATGGAAAACCAAAATTACATATATATAGAAGGTGCTGGTCAGTAGTGGGAAAGACACTAGAGTATATTAACTTAAAAATCTCATATTACTATGTTATTAACACAGACAACAAATCTTCAGATATCTTGGCATCTTATAGCACATTTTTCAGTGGAGGTGAGGGAACAGCAACACAAATGCCGAAGTGGCACTTCAACCATAATAATGGAATTATACCGTCTTGATTTTATTTCAGCAATGTTGTTTTGTTAAGCATGAGAAATAATCCCATGTATCTTCAATGTTCAAGGCACATAGAATTATTTCTTTGGAATCACCAGTAGTAGTCTACTTTAAGTAGTCTTTCATCCTACTTGGCAAACATGAAAACAATGTCTAATTGATATAACTGATAAAGTAACCTTCACTAGCCTACTGCCCTCCATTATTTCCCAGAATTCCCTTTGTCAATGCTGAATTTGTCCCCCATGCTGGCTAAGAATTCTGGAATCTGTAGAATTCTTGTAGAGTTGCACACTTGAAGAACAGTCCCTTGAATTATATAACATTCCTCTTATAGAGTAGTAATAGTGCCCTCTCTTTTAGTGCAGGCTAGTCTTTGAATCAGCAATATGCCAACTGTAGCAGAGTTAGAGTTGGTTCACTTTATGTGCAAAACTTTGCTCCTAAATATATGCTAAATCAACTTTCCTCCAGAGTAATTGCTGGTGAATTGTTCACTTAATCAATCTATTGTTCAGTTCCCTAATCAGCAACATAAGACCTGCTCAATTTAATCTGTCAAAGTACTAAAAATTCTTGTAATGCACTGCAGCTTTTAAAAGCAAATATTGGAACATTAGCAAAAAGAACTAGGCTATATTTAAGTTAGGTAAAACTTTCAAGGTGAACTGGAAGCTGAGACTACACTGAACTATAATTTTTTTCTCACCGGCTTTGGTCGTGTCTCCCTCAGGAAAGATTTCAAGTCTCCTCCAGCCATAAGCTCCAGCAAAATAAAGCGAGGCAGAGCTTGTAAGCTCACTCCAATGCAGCGTACAATATTCTGGTGATTGAACTTGCTGCAAGGAAGATTGAGGGGAAAAAAGCTTTTAATGCAAAAGACACAGATTGAGCTTGTGGGGTTTTTTTTAGCTCTCTTTCTCTCCTGGTGCATTGGACTTCAATGCCCATCACATTTGGCCACAGTGGACATTATAAAATTGCAGATCAATATTTGTGTTAAGCCAGATCAATGTAGTCTGGTGGTCAAAAGAAAACTGCTGTTGGATTGGACTATAGAAGAATATTGCAAGCCAAATAATAATAATTTGGTCAGTGAATTTTTATATGGAAAATAATAATAAAATAAAATAACAATTTTCTCCCCCTCCAAGAAAGAAAGAAAGAAAGAAAGAAAGAAAGAAAGAAAGAAAGAAAGAAAGAAAGAAAGAAAGAAAGAAAGAAAGAAACGAACAGCTTAACAGTTTATCTATAATTTCCAGCTACTTTGTTCCTTCTTCTTTGGGGTAATAGTGAATAAAGTTAGTCTTAAAATATTTTGGTGGTAATTACAAAATTATCACTATCACTGAAATCGAATATTCACTGTGCAAAAATGTTATTCTTTACTATGCTGAGTATTTCAAGTATTCCTTGTAATCTTGATAGACTCTTTAGCAAACCAGGAAAGCTGAGATTTTAAGCTAATCTCAGTGTTATTCTTAGGAGATAATCTTAGCCCCATCTCTTATGAATGATAGTCCTGATAGAGGACTATCCTATAGGCAGATGGTAAAGTTTGAAGAAAATAAGGGAAATGCAATTGCTTTGGTCAATTTTATTGCATTATGTGTGATTCATCTGTATAAATATTAAATATTTATACAGATGAATTAAGTAAATATTTCTTTTTAATTAGGTTTTAAACTGAGTATTTTTATTGTTGTATCTGTTTTATAAGGCTGTCAGCCGCCCTGAGTCCGTAAGGAGAAGGGCGGGATATAAATTAAATAAATAATAATAATAAATAATAATAATAAAGGCTGGAGAGTAAAAATGACCAGTGCTTTTAATATTGGTAAATGTGTGTTTAAGGTAGAAAAGCAGGCAATCAATTTGAATTAACATACCTTATTATAAGAGCTTCCATCAGGAAATCCAACTCATCTTGCTCTGAGCAAACCTCTGGTAATGTCTAGTCAAGAAAAAAGGAAAGTGAAATTTCTTTCATGTGGAAAGTTTTTTAGATGCCACCTTTCCAAAGACAATTCTAAGCCATTTAAAAGATACCTAAATCTTTAGAAACTCTCTATTAGAAATTATTTATAGAAACTCCCTATATAAATTCTATATAGAAACTTGACTATTTACTAGAGTCTGGGTGGAATGATGAGAAATGCAGTTCAACACCATTTGCAATCTCCAAGTTGAGAAAGCATATTATCAGAAAGAAATCTGGATTTAATATATATGTCTCAGAAAGTAATAACCACAAACATTTTCTTCCATCACTCTACTACTTTGAGAAAAATGTCAGCTTTCTGTTCACACATCAGTAACAACATAGGGTGGTGAACTGTGACAGGATAAGGATGTTGAATAGAAAAAGTCTGAGCCAGCTTCCCAAATGATAGTTCTATAGGTGCTAGATTAAATGGTCATAATTCCCAACCACCATGGACAATAGCCACTGATACAGAAGTTATGAGAGTCACAATGACAATACATCTGGAGGACACTAGAGAGGAGAACACAATCAAAAGTATTTCTTGCTTGGGATCAGTTATATTTAAAAGAACCAGAATTGCAAAAACATGCTTGTGAACGAAAATTAATAACTTTTATGACCTTCAGCAATAATAATCTGAGTGACAATTCTGGATTTAATAATAATAGTAAAGTTGGAAGGGATCTTGGAGGTCATCTAGTCCAACCCCCTGCTCAGGCAAGAAACCCTATACCATTTCGGACAAATGGCTGTCCAGTCTCTTCTTAAAAACCTCCAGTGTTGGAGCATTCACCGCTTCTGGAGGCAGGTTGTTCCACTGGTTAATTGTTCTAACTGTCAGGAAATTTCTCCTTAGTTCTAGGTTGCTTCTCTTCATACCACCGTGTCCATAATCAGGAATACATTCACCATTTTTCCTTCAGAGAAACTAAAAAATGAACTCAACCATAGTCCTTTCTTTGACGAGATATGTCCCATGAGGCAGATTTGTCTCACCAAAACTTACTTTTACAGCCACTTGAAGAGGAGTGGGGTCAGTGGGGATCCCAATCACCTGACCTTCATACACTTCCCCAAAAGCTCCATGGCCTAGACCCCTGACAAGATCAGAAAAGGGAAGATGATTTTGACATAACCCAAAGGCACAATTCTTACAATATACATTCTTAAATATATACTAGAATGTTCAAATGGAAAAGTCTTGGTGTTTTATTAACTGCATCGAACTATTAGGTAAATAGTGAAATATTTCTTAATGCAGTCTTACTATTGGATATAGGAGCTACGGGGGAGATATTTTAAAAAAGGAGCCAATTTCACTAGACCCACATAGTCATACCACTGCCAGTCTTTCTTCTGTCATTTGTAGTACCAGCAGCTGTTATATACAAGAACAACATTTTTTGATAATAGAGAACAAGATTTATGTAAACCTTATCAAGTATGAAATAGCTAGGTTTGCTTTTTTCAGGTTTAAAATGGATGAGACTCAGTCATGGTTTTCTATGCTAGAATGAATTTCATTCACATGCCTATAAGGGAGTTCAATTTTTAAATATTCTATGGAGAAAAAACATCATTGCAAGTTAAAAAAAAAATCCTAGCACAGCAGGATGTCAACTAGGTTAGAATCTTTTCCCCTGAAATGTTATGTTACATCTTGTTATTCTTTCAAGTTATGCATATCTTGAAAGATAAGAACCCATAGTCTGGATCCTGAAATAAGCAGGAACCAAGACAGCACATATATTTTAAACACAGGAGAACTGCCTATTTCCCAGTTATCTACAATAATTGCAGTTTTCACATTATATGTAAAAGAACCCCCATGGATAATATATTACTTTATGGTATCTTATTCTATAATTCTAAAATTTAGAAGTTAGAAAATCAGGGTAATAGAAGCTACATTACAAACGCAATGGATACGAGTTGGCATGCCAACCCAGGCTGTTTAGAAGGCACTCTTGGAAATACCTAAAAATATTGTGAAACTGTGAGTGCCAGTTTATTGACTCTCATGTAGTCAATAATTATATTCCGGTTCTAGTTCATTATTTTTACTGCCTCCAGTGAATTGAGTGGAAAAAGGAGAACTAGAATGCCATAGTTTCCAAAAGAGGTAGGTGTACTAGTTTTTTTGCAACCTAAGAAAAACAAAGCAGCAAGCAATGTTAGCAATGTCAACCACACAACCCCCAAATCTTGTGACATCTAAAACCTGATTCTTTTTTTTATAATATGCTTCATAACAACATATCTTGTCAGTAGTTCCATCCAGGAGCCATTTCAACAATATAATAAATAAGTAGAATGCAGTTGATCTTATTAATGTTGGTTAAGGTGCAGTATTGCAGGCAAACTCTGCTCACAGCCAGAAGTTCAATCTTGACAGAGTTCAAGGTTGACTCAGCCATCCATCCTTCTGTGTTCAGCAAAATGAGGACCCAGATTGTTGGGGGAAATATGCAAATAATGCTTCTTCAGATAAACCACTCAGAGAGTGCTGTAAAGTGCTATGGGGTAGTATATAAGCCTAACGGCTATGAGGTGATATATAAGCCTAACTGCTATGGAGTGATATATAAGCCTAAATGCTGTGGGGTGGTATATAAGCCTAAATGTTTAACCTAATTTTGAACCTCACTATCTTCAAGAAGATCTTGAAAAGAAGATGGAACCAAATAGGAGTGACTTTATAGGATAATAGCAACATGAGCAAAGAGATGTCTCAAAGTATTATCTTTTGTTCAGCCTTGAAGCTTAATATGGCATTCATATTAAGGATCAAGGGGAAGATAGGAAAGAAGTTTGGATCAGATGGAAACTGTATTATGCAGTCCTTTCATCCAGTGCCATTAATTCCCTACCCAGATATTCAGATTGAAACTACAATCGCTTGTATTAAAAATGGTGCTCAGTGGCACAGAAACATGAACCAAATCAAATCCCCCCTGTGTCTCTCCTGACATATGTCATCCATCCAAATGACCACATTGATCTCTGTGTCAGCTGCTCTTGCAATTGCTAACTACTGTCTTCTAGTTGTAATATTAGCCTTTAGGCCCTTAAAGTGGAAATAAATAATTTTATATTAGAGGTAAGATTTACTGCAGATTAACTCTGGGCCTAAACATCATTGCTGTAGACACTGCCCAAGTTTCATAAAGAGGATTGGAGGGTTAATTATTTAGGAAAATTGAAAAACAGTGAACTAATAAATAAACCATACACTTTTCTATTATATATTTTCTCCTGTGTGCTCATTATACAGATTTTCAGTCACTGTTCATTCCAGGATGCAATTAATAAAGATGTAAAAAAAATATTCTATGTGGCAGTAGCAACCAAATCCCAAGAGGTAGTTATAGGTTCAGAAGCATAATATGGTTGAGGGATTGTTGAGTTGAAACATCTGCAAACTTTTTTAGGCAGTTTTTTTTTTAAATACGTGGAGCTGCTTGTAGAGTATTTAAAGGGAAAAGCGAGTTCTCTCCACTTGTGTAGGAATTGTAAGCTTGGCTGGTTGTATACAGATAGGAGAGAATAAAAATCACTCTTCAAAATGGCAGGAAACAGTAAGAAACTGAAAAAACAGAACATCACAGATAGCCCCCTTCCAAGAAAAGCAACTTTGGGAAAACACAACATTAAAAAAAAAACCAAGCATTTTTTATTCCACATACTAATGTAAAGAGGGGAGAAGAAGGGGAGGGTTTTTCTGAGCCTCATAGCTTATCTTGCAGAATTTTATAACTAGAACTTATAAAATCAATACCCAATAATGGAATGACAAGGCTATCAAGAGGCTTACTTCTTCAATTCTTTTCAATTTTTGATTACGTTTTAAGTTTAAACAGTGATACTTTTATTCCTAAAACATTGCATACTTTCAGAATGCAATTTCTCACAAGGTGAAAAACACCATAGTTGATTTTTCCTAAGAAAACTACCAGCTTACGTTGTGCATGCTGGCTGTAAGAGCAAAATAAGGAGGATAATTGTTAAGGTCAGTGGTCTTGAGGGGTAGGAAGCTAAACACAGTTCAAATGGAAGAGGCAGAAGCTTTATAATTCTGTACATCCTGTGGCATTTACTAACTATTTAACGTAGGATATCAATGGCAGAAAGTAGGATAACACCTGTCTTCATTAGCAAGTTACCCTGAAAATCAAAAGAAACAATTTGACCTATGATTCTGCCCCATCGTATATCCATGTACGTGTATATGCATATCAATATGGTGTGTGTGTGTGTGTGTGTGTGTGTGATAGGCATTTCCTACCAGATTTTTAAAAACTTTATAGCATCTTCCGAGGAGTCCAAATGGAGCAGTATTAAAGGATGGTTATTTTTGTAAGAACGCCTTTCCCTTTGCTATATTTTCTCAATATAAATCCTTCAGGCTTCTCATCTGCTTAAGATACTTGCTTTGAAATAAATCCAGGTTAGTGGCAGAGAAGTTGTCCTGATGGATGTGACACTAGCAGCTTCAGTGGAAAGTGACTCGGATATGTTTTCTGAGAAAATAAATCTGTCTATGTCCCTAGCTGCCAGAATATTCAATACTGAACTAAATAGTCAAGTGATCTGACTGGGTAGATGGATTGCACATTTAAATGATAAATATCTGGATTGTGCCCTTAGAACAAATACTAGGAATTTCAGGTGAAAAATTAAATGGTAAACAAGAGGGAAAAATAGTAAACCCCATCTGGAAAAGATAGCAGCTGTAGTCAAAATCAGTCTCCACAGGATATCTTTAGAGAGGAAGCATTGTCTGGTTTGTCTTTGTAAGACATAGTGACATGGCTATAAGTTATCTATATATTATTTGCTGTGGAACACAATTGGCAGAGTCCTATTGGATGTATGTCTTGCTTGTGAAATTCACAGACCTCTAATAAGCTTTGTGGGAAGAGATGGCTGGACTCTGCCAGTAGGGTTCTTCTTATACAGTAGGGGTGTCAAACTGCCTGTCCACGGGCTGGACATGTCACGATGAAACTGCGCCCACCCCATTGCCGGCAATGAGGAAAAAGCTGCGATACATCGCGCGACGTCACGTGATGTCGCGAATTTGACATGTATCTGTATATTGTACTATGTAAGCGTCTCCATCCAGAATCATATAAGCCATATGGTAAAGGTTTTGCTTTGTCCTTCATGCCTCTCCTGTATAGATACAATACATTAGGAGCGTTGCTTGAATTATATTATACTTTCTAGACATTTGATTAAGGTTTTGAGTTTGGTTGTTGATGTTTTCCTTTCTTAGTGAATTAGGGCCATACAGCATGCCAGCAATTAGGCATCATTATCCTGCAAGTTTGCAAATCAAAATGACCTTGCAGCAACCACTAATATATTAAACTGAAACCGTGTTTCTGAATCTCACTGTCTTTAAAATGAGTGGACTTCAACTCCTAGAAAAGATGGCCTTTTCACTCAATCACAGGAAAGAGATTTAACGGTCAAACTTAAGAACTGCTAGATCTGACTAGAAATTAAGATTTCAATTATTCTCCACTTCATTTGAGAAGTACAATTTTGGAAGCCTGAGGATTATTGTGTGACTTCTGAGACCAAGCAAAAGGTGCACATGTGAATTGGTGTGCCCATACTTCTAGCAGTCTAGATGTGAGCATAAAGAAACCAGGAAGATTGCTTTACCTTATCAAAGAAATATTTTTCCGGGGCACCTCTTTGAGGTCACTAATGGAAGTAGTTTTTCCTGCAAAGCAGTAATTGGGGTTATAGTCTGTCATAATTGTGGAAGTGCGCAGCTTGCTCAGCTTGTACTCAGGGCTCTGTAACTCCATCTGCACAGCTTGCAGCTCTTGGTGTTTCCGCCGATACACTAGAAAAGTAAGAGAATCAGGAATGGGATTGAGAAATGCCATAAGGTTAAAAGCACACAAAGATACATGGGGATTGTGTTGTTCAGATTGACTGCAAGAGTGACAGGGAAGAGTGAGACTTATAGAATAAGGCAATGTACTCATCAATAACTATTTGTGAGATATTGCGAATAAAGTAAAAGGTTTTAAGTGGAGCACTGTCCAGTGAAATAATGGGTTTGGCATTAGTACAGACTTGTAACCATTTATACAGAGCTGACCAATCCAGAATTTGTACATGATTTCTGCAATTGTGAAGATTTGCGATCTTCAATAGCTTACTATCAACATTCACCAGTGAGCCACCAACTTATCATGATTATAATGGAAATAAAAACTGCCTCTATCGCCAGCCCCTCAATGTACCTAATCAAATGGGAGAAAGATGTCCAAGGTGCTTCAGAATTTCTTACCAACCGGAACCCCTTGAAGCTTCAGATACTAAATGCTATCTTTTAGTGACAGTCCTTCCAGAAACAGAAAAGTTGGAAGGCTTCTTTGTCTCCAGCTCAGAATGACAAGATGCTAGAGGAAACAGTATTGCAATTTCTTGAAAACACTACTGGGAAAGGCTGACAATTTGCTAAAAGTATTGTTTTAGGGAAATGTTTGTCTCAAACTTGGATCCAACAGTTATCTGCAAGGACACCCAACACAGAGTTGGTTGAGATATTGCAAGGACAACACAGAGTTATATGGGAAAATTTATGTCATTGAATCTTACCCCCTGCTTGATGCAGAAATTCAAATTAAAGCATCTCTGACCAGATAGCCATCCAATGTCTTTTGAATGCTTCCTATGTAGAAGAATTCATAATCTGTCTTAGTAATAGCTCTTACAATAAAACTGCTCTTACTATAAGGAATATTTTTGACTTTTAACTGGTACATAACTTCCTGTAGTATTTTTTGTGCTATACTCTGACAGATCTGATGACAGATCTGATAGAGATCTCTGTCTGGAAAGAAACAAATATAATGAATAGATCTTTGTATCATATCCTCAGGTATTTGAGGAGTACATTCATATTTGTCCATAGCCTTCTTTTATCAAGGCTAAATATTTCATGTTACTTCAGTCTCCCTTTATAATTCTCCTTATTACCTTTGCTGCCCTTTACAGACCCCTCCCTCCCTGTGAGGGAGTCAAGTTGGGGCTGCTGTTTGCTCTTTTGAAAATGAGCTGCATTCATGCAGAAACTCTTCCCTCTTGCATTGACACCTTCACTCATAACCTAACCCATTACTCCCAAGCATCAAAGCTGGTTTTGCAGCTGCCTGTGGTAAATGAGCAACACTCCTTGATTTTTTTCCAAGAATATGCTGATGTCCAGAGGCAGCCTCACTAAACTCAGGCTTTTAGCATACAAAAGCAAATGCTAAGACAGAGTGGAGAGAAGGATGGGTGTAGGAGGAAAAATGATGAGCAAAGTAAATGGTTATCTCCAGAGGTGGGAAATGGAGGCAATGTCTGGAGATTGGCAGCTGTTACAAGCAGGCAAGAGAACTCATTTAACTGCCTGGACCACAAGCTATGATGAGCAGGACATTCTGGTGGGAGTCCGGCCTGGAGCTTGGAACTTTGCCAGGAGCTTAGTAGCAATGAGAAAAGGAGTAACTACACTGAAACAGCACTTCAACCCAAGTAGTACAAAATTTTTTGGAAAAAGGCAAACATTGTATGCTGCTTTGTAGAATTTAAGATTTTTCTTTGAATTGAGTATTAAAAGACTGAGTACAAAGGACGGAGTATTAAAGGCGTATTTTTGTGGCAACATTACCTGGTCTGGAAGGTGGGGTTGACCCAGAGCAATAGCCTGTTGCTGGGGAAGATGTGTGTTGCAATAAAGCACTTATGTTCAGATTTGCTATGTTGTGGTATGTCCAGTCCTTGGAAAGCAAAGAATCCTCACATGGTGTTGGGTCCACAATTAGGATTCATTTGTATCTAACCAATGAGTAATAATGTGGAACTATTTATTGACAGAGTCAGCTTTCTTTCTAACATTTTAAAGTAAGAGAGGATGTTGTTATTGGTCATATTGTTTGCACCCAGAAGTTAGAGGAGGAAGGGATACCTTAAAATTATCTTGAAGTATCTTTGCAATTGTTCTGATTTATACTCTCAAAAGAGCATATTTCATAAGTCAGCCTGTCTAGTTGGTCTATATCAAGTTGCACAGCTACCAACTACTACAATTATTTTCCTTGTTATTTCTCTGATCCTCAGAGGTCCAGCTAGTCATTTCTTTTTAAATATGATCTAGTATTCTGTTCTGTTCTGTATTTTTTTTCCTAGGAGGGCCTGAAAACTTTAGTTTTGGTTTTTATTCTCCAAAGGAATCTACTGCTGTCAGCAGCTCCAAACCCAGGAAGTGGGAGACTCATTTACCTTCTTTAATAATTATTTACTATATAGGTAGTCCTCGACTTACAACAGTTCATTTAGTGACCGTTCAAAGTAATAACAGCACTGAAAAATGTGACTTATGACCGTTTTTCACAATTACAACCTTTGTAGCATCCTCATGATCATGTGATCAAAATTCAGATGCTTGGCATATTTATGACTGTTGCTGTGCCCAAGGTCATGTGATCAACTTTTGTGACCTTCTGACAAGCAAAGTCAATGGGGAATCCAGGTTCACTTAACAACCAGGTTACTAACTTATCAATTGCAGTGATTCGCCTAACAATTGTGCCATAAAGGTCGTAAAATGGGTCAAAACTCACTTAACAAATGTCTCATGTAACCACAGAAATTTTGGGCTCAATTGTGGTCATAAGTTGAGGAGTACCTGTATGCAGTCCTGGAGTGCTTAGGACAAGATGATGCTGTCTGTCTGTCTTACAGTGCTGTTAAAAATGTTAATGCTTTTCATTCCCATTATTTAAAGATTATTCCCAAGATTATCTCAAAATTGCATTGGGCCCTGGATAGCTTTATATGTTTATCAGGCTAATAGGAGATATTAACTATCACTAAAATTCTAAACTTGATCTCTTCTGAATAATAAAAGAGCCTTTAAAAGATGCAAATCTGTTGCAGGATGAATAAACCATGTCCTTTCCTAAAAAACATTTTACCCTGCTGAAATGGTATTCCTGCTTCCTGAGAGCAGACAATATCTGCAAGGATTCGAACCCCATTCTACAATTTTCATAAGTATTTTCTCATCTGAACTTTGAGATGATTCATACATACAAAACAGAAACTAAGGACGTATGTGTAAAGAACGTTCATATTTTTTAATATTATATATTAGACCCCATTTTCATTGCTAGTTTTCCAATATTATTTTGCAAAGCTCTTAAGACTTTTTTTAAGGAAATAAATAACTTTATATGGACTTCAGACTTCAGCTAGTCTCTGTTCTAACCTTTCAAAATCCCGTGGGAGCAATACATGCTGTATATGGGGGTAGGAATGGTGGAGAGGTAGAGTGTAGATCAAAATTAATTGGACATGTAAAAAGTTACTTTAAAAGAGTAATTGGAACTGGGCACAAAATTTCCCACAGCACATTCTTGATTCTGGGAAGTTTAACCCTGTGCTGTATTGTAGATTTTGCTGCAGTGACATTATTTCTGTTTCAACAGATAAATTATTAGGTTATGTGCAAGATGTAGGACAGGATTTGAGAAACCAATTATAATTTCTCCCACACAGGATGATGGCTTTTAAAAGTCAAATAAAATATTCATTCAAAATCTTGTAATGAGAGTATAAGAAGTTAATGTCTTTGGGAAGTGAGGGGGAAGTAGCTAGAAAATATACCAATCTGCACACACACAATAGTGGGTTTTTTAATTTCTAAAAAGGTAATTAAAATGTATCTATTAATTATTGTATTTGCTCTGACTCCAGAAATTTACATCTAATCTATTGGCTGTTTGGAGAAGAAATAACTATCTAGCAGGTCACAGGCATGATCTAGTCCTGGAATCATATTCTGTGGTCCAAAGTAACAAGACCATGTTTTTCCAGGTTTGAATCTTGCCTCTCTAATGAATTCATAAGATGATCCTACTCAAATCTTTATTGCTTATTATCACCTTCCCAACCACAATAATAAGAATTACAGAGATGGCCAGTTCTGCATAATTTTATAAGGATCACAGTGAAGAATATATCTGAAGGGTTTTAAGACCGTTATTCACAATTTTATTGTCAACGATGCTGCTGCTGCTTCTATCCTACATTCCTAAAATTACTTTTTAGCTGACATGAAATCAGGAACATAGCTCATACATAAACACATCAAATAGCTTACTGAATGTATTGCATGAATAATATGGTGCCTGCCAAAGAAATAATGCATATGTTATCAGTCTCATTTAAAAGCCTGCTGACTATTGAATTTTCTATATATGACACCAGAAGAGCCATGGATCAGTGGTAGAACATATGCATTGTAAACAAGAAGTCCTGGATAGATAAGATAAGATAACCTTTATTGTCATTTTTATACTGTGGGCACAATGGCACACATCAAAAATGAAATTTAGTTGCCCGCTCTCAAAGTGAAACTCATACATGACACACACCTAAACATACTATGAACAACATATGTATAGACCCACATCCCTACATATATGTAGCAAATAAATATTAAATATTGTCCATCTTGAATATATAACGGAAGGAGGAAGCTTGAGAGTTCGCAAGGTTAATGCTGTATGGAATGAAACTCTGGCTGAATCTGGATGTTCTGCTTCGGATACCACGAAGTCTCCTTCCAGAAGGTAACAAGGAAAACAGGTTGTGAAGAGGGTGTGTAGTGTCCCAGATAATCTTACGGACCCTGCTCACTTAATCCATATGATTAAGAATTCCCTGATTATGTAAATAATTACATTGATACTTATAGTACTGATTTATTTCGGTATAAGGCAGCATCCTAGAATAAATGGCAAACATGGTTGAATCTTCCTGAAAACAATCTGCTTCTACTTATTTATTTATTTGTAAAATTCATTAGCCGCCTATCTTAGTGCACTGTAACTCTGAGCAGAGTTACAATATTAAAATATAGACCTGTATAAAACTGAATAATATAAATACAATATTATAAAAATCAACCCAGCTAAAAAGATGAGGAGAGAGGGAGTATAATGAGAAGGGGGGTGGAATTTATTGTGAAACCCCTCCATTGGAGCCCCTAGTCAACTGGCCGAGCCAGGTCTTTAAGCTCTTATGGAAGGTAAGGAGAGTTGGAGATGACCTCACTCTGGAGGGTAAGATGTTCCAAAGAGCAGATGCAATGGCATCTAACTTGCATCAATATTTAAGATAATTGAAATAAATACTTTTCATGTAATTTAGTCAATTAAGCAGCCTTCCCAACCTTGTGGCCATTGAAATGTATTAGGATCATAGTGACAGAAATATCACCAAGCATACCCATATTCCTAGTTTGCCTTGAGGGCACCAGGTTACACAGTTGATACATATCAGAAAATGTCTCTGCCTCCTCAAGTCCTGCTATGCTGCCCTATTGTGGTAGGGGCAGTGCTGTTTTGGTAAAAAAAAGAAAGAAAAAAAAAAGGTGCCGGAACTCACACACGTCATACAACCCGCCTTGCCTACCCTACAAGGTTCCATCCAAAAAAGGTGCCGGAACTCCGTTCTGGGCGTTCTATGACAAAAAAAAGCCCTGGGTAAGGGTATGTGTATATTCCAGGAAGGAATAAGCAGAGAACACCAGAAATGTATGCCAAGTGTATATATTTTCTCCCAGCAGATCACCCAAGCTATAAATATCATCCCATCTGACTAGTTAAATCAGGTTATGATTATTTAGTTACAATGGCAAAGGCATCCATTGCATACAGCGCAGGAGAAGGCTATTATAAACCACTCCTGTATTTGGTCAGTAAAATCATACAGATATACAAAATAAAATAACTTACAATATAGTGCCAAATGATGGGCCCCTCAAGTCAGCTGGTATTACTGATTAACAACTGAGAATCTTTCAGAGTAATAATGGTGCTTATGCAGTTATAGTAAAGCTTTAGGGATGTCTAGTTGCTGATGTTGCATGTAGAAAAATATCTGAAGCTGCAAATGTGAAATCACAGTGGAATTGTGGAATGTAAGGAAGTTGAATGTGGGAAAACTCTGCACAAAGGAAGATGAAATGAATCTATCAGAGACTGTCATCTTAGGTGTTAACTAATTGAAATGGATTGTAACTGGATACTTTCGGTCAGAAGTTAATATTGTTTATTTCTCAGGATATGAAAAACAAAGAAGGATCAGCACCACTTTCATGGTCCAGAAAGATATAACAAAGGCAGTACATGGTACAATGCAGTCAATGCCCAAATAATATCAATTAGATTTGGCATATATTGATTATCCACGTTTATGCCCCAACCACTGATGCAGAAGAAGAGGAGGTTGATGAATTCTATGGTCAAGTTTAAGCTAGAATCAACAGAACATATGCAAGCAAGATGTCTCCTTATGGTTGGAGACTGAAATCCAAAGTTAGAAATAGTAAGGAAGAAAACATAGTTGGACTATATAGCCTAGGAAACAGACAAAAAGTAGGAGAATGACTTATCAGTCTGACTTATTAGTTTCTTTATTGCTAACAGTTCTTGAAACAACCAAAATAATGCTTACATACATGACCGTCACCAGATGGACTATACAAAAATCTGATTATATTATTAATACAAAGAGATAGAAAGACTCAGTTATAATAGCAATGTTGTGGCTAGGAACTAACTGAGAAACATGTGGGTGTTCCAAGTCAAGATAAAGTAGTAGAACAAAGCCAGACAGTTTCCATGATATGAGCTTGACTAAGATACTCACCATTTTCAAGGAGAACAACAGGAAGCGTTTTGTAGTCCTGAACCTCATTGATAGGAAACCTCATTGATAGGAACTATGGAATGAAATCAAAGCAGTTATTAAGGATGAACGAGAGACTGCCAAAGATCAAGAAACAGAAGAAAGCATACAGCATGTCAGAACAGACAATGGGAATTGCCAAGGAGAAAAGAGAAGCCAAAGACAAGAAAGACAAAAATCTTAGAAAGGAAAAAAGAATTTCAGAGTGCTGTTATAAGAAGTAAGAAACAGTATTACAATGTCATCTGTAAAGACATTCAAGATGGAAACAGACATGGAAAAACAAGAAAAGTCTTCCAAAAGATCTCCAAACTCAGAAGGTTCCAACTTGGAATTGGTACACTAAAGGATACCAATGGACAGATTGGTAATTGTTCTAAATTAGATCAAACAAAGATGAAAGGTGTTTACTGAAATTCTGTACAGTAAAGATATCAATATCCAAGATATATTAGAAGATATTCCTTTTTTTACCTCTAGCACTAGAAGATGATGCTAGATCAGAATCCCAGTCATTAACAAGGTAGAAGGCTAAAGGAATTGATAGAATATCTATAAAAAATATGGCAAGCAATGGAAGAAAAACCAGTAAAGGTTCTGACTTAATTATGCCAGCAAATGTGGACAATGACACAGTAGGCAACAGATTGGAAGAGGTCAGTCTATATACAATACCAGAGAAAGAAGACTTAACAGAGTGCAGGCTATTATACAATATTTTACAGAATTGAACTGTGTAAAAGTAGAATGGAAAGAGCATTGACACTTTAAAATTTTGATGTTGGAGAAGACACTTGAAAATATCACAGATAGCAAAGAAAACGAACAAATGAACCATAGAAAAACTCAATGTAAAATTCTTGCTTGAGATAAAAATGTCTAGCCTCAAATTACATATTGTGAATGTGCTATGCTAAGTCTCCCTTGAGTAGCCCATAATCTTGGGAAAAGAAGAAAAGAGAAGTTGATGTCCAGCAGAAAGATGGATGGACTAATTACAGTGGCAGATCATCCTGGAGAAGATTGTTGTCACTAAGAGTCAACACCAACTTGATGGCACATAATCAATCAATCAGTCAGTCAGTCAGTCAGTCAATGAGTTATGTGGGTAATTTATATGTTGGGAGTGAACAAAGAACTCACCTATCATAATCCCTGAGAAGGCTAGAATAAGACCAGCAACCAGAGCTGAAGTCACTACTGACAAGACCAAAGAAAGAGGAGGATTCTTGGTGGGCAGGATCAGTTCATCTGGAATATAAACATGACAACACATTAGTTGTTTTCTACTTTTCTTCCTGTTATTTTCCCATTCAAACAATGTTTGCACATTATTTGTAGGAAACCATGGACCCACATATTTTTGGACTAGTTAAAAAAGATATCTTGGATGTGCACATTTAAAAATGTAGTGCCATGTGGAGGTAGGTATCTAAATATTTGCCAGAGATCTAGAATTAGTATCATTGCACAAATGATCAATTAAACTTCCACAATGAGCTGCCCTAAAAATTGGTTTTGCCACTGTAATTGGAATCCAAAATCAGCAATGGGTTCTGGTTGGGTGTAGTCCAACATAGTCAGAGAGCAAAAGATTAACGTCTGTTCATATGCAATGTCTTACCTATGCAAGAGACACCATCATTAGCCAACACATATCCATAGCCACAAATGCAAACAATTTCCTGAGTCTTCAAATCTGCGTGGCACATATCATGATCACAATGACTGCAGTTCAAATATAGCTTAATGCTGACTTCACCATGCCCCTCTGACACTAGAGAGTAGATGAAAGAATTATTGATTTGTATAATACCTATAGGTCAAAGATTCGTAACACTAAACAAAAAACCAGTAAGTAGAATAATTGTAAAACTACCAACAAAACCGATAGGGTCGTTATTTAGTTATTAGTTAGTTATTGGAAGTGGCAGGGTGGTGGTGGTAAGCAGGAATAGCTGCCCTGTATTTTCAGTTGTAGTATAATATTACTATTTGCACATACTTCCTCATGATTAATGCCCAAATTATATTTGCATGTGATTCTTTTGTCTACAGATTTTGCTACAAATGAACCTATAAAGAAGAGGAAATGCAAAATTACTCCCAATCCCTTTTCCCACCTTTACTGGAAGATACTTGGTTTGAATTGCTCCAGATTCTACCAATCTCTGTTGCAGATAACTCTCCCAGCATGCCATTGCCCCAGTTATGTTAGAACTATAGTTCTAATTGCTGGGCATAATAATTCAGTATTAGGGGAATTGTAGTCAAAACATCTGGAGAGCTTTAGAAAAGATTGTTCTCTAGAAATGTAGAACTTAATACCTTCCTAAGACATCTTTACAATGCCTAATTTAAAGTGGAATGTTTTTAAGCTGTTTCAGAAGACATACTGGTGATATTCTATCTGTATATGTGATAAAATAAATAACTGAAAATACCTTTTAAAGCAGGAGTAAAGAGTGAACCATACTGGCTATTAATAAAGGATACACCATCCTCTCCATCCATCTCTGGGTCATTTTGTTCTGCTGCATTGCCACCTACAGAAATGGAAAACATCTTAAATATTTTTGGATGGATTTCACTAATGCACATCAAAGAGCAACAAAATTTCTTGTGGCACCTTAAGATTAAATAATATATTGTAACATAATTTAGTGTGTGGGCTCTGTGTGGGTAGTCTGATATAAATACATCTTCATGAATGTTGAAAAAATACAACTCACCATTTTTTGGAATAATGAGGCCAAAAGGCCAATTAGTACCAGAGATAAAAATATATTTTGAATGCAAATGAATATAGAATTAAATCCAATTGATATAATGGTTCAATGGCATAATAATAACAGATCACTAGATGCCATAAGTTACCACATATTAAAAATGATATCACTCAGAAAAAAAGTCAAGGGATGTTTTGACAATTCACTTTGGTTATTCCAATTTCAATTAAGATGATCATATTAAGTAACCTCTTGTGATCAGGAATTCTAAGTACATGAAGGTTTGCAAGTTCCCTCTCCAGTGACAGAGAAATGAGGTCAAGGCCTCTGTGTAACTCTCTTTTGATTGTTCACTTTGAATACTCAGTGAAGGATCATTTTGGTCTACCATACATTTATAAAATTCTTGTACTTAATAAACATAGATATGGCAAATTGGAATGCATAAATGTATAAATTCAGCTTTATAGACTTGGAGCCCTATAAAATGTAGAGCAGTTTGTATACTATAGAAAGTACTTATCCATTTTGAAGAATTTGTTTATACTTCAAACATGCTTTGCCTATTCATCACCAGTGGGGATAGATCTGATTAAGTGGTCTGACCTTCTAAACGTTATGCCACAATACATCTTTCAGGTGACACAAAACATTTTTTCATGCCACGTGGCTACCTTTTTCATATTTGTCAAATGCAGGTAAATAAATTATACCAGTGATCAACACTATAAAATAAAAAGCATCTAACAAAGAAAAAATCATTCATCTGACAAAATATCCAATAAATTCTATATGGTTGCAGCTTAATGGTTTTTTAAGCTTCTAACATTCAGCATCTCGGTTTAACAAGTCTTTTGAGTTATTAATGAAGTAAATGAATGTTACGGCCAAGTCCCAGCCACAAAAACGACAAATTAGAAAAAAAGGCATAACATAATCTCTATATAGCCGTTTGAATGATATGCAAAAGTTATGCTATACACAGCAAATAGTAATAATTAGATAACTATTCTTTTAATAGTTTATTCAATCTACAACAATCTCTCCAGTATGGAAAAATATGGATAAATAAGATCAGTGGTGGGATTCAGATAATTTGTACCAGTTTGGCAGAACCGATAGCTAATTTTTTGTTGCCCAGGACTAGAATGGATTTCTGGAAGTGGCATCCACACAGAGAACTGGTTGTTCACATATTTGAATCCCATCACTGAATAAGATCATTCTGAAATGGTAGCCATTGTTAAACTGGGTTAAGAAACTGTGCATTCATTTCTCATTATCTATTTTATTCTTGTTCAAGCCAATCAATCTACCAACCAAACATTCAACCAATCCCAGTTCTCTTTCAAGAATAGAATACATAACTAAATCATTGGTAAATTTAAATATTCATACAGGAGACATCATTCTATTTTTTTCCCAAAAGAAAGTATGTACATATGAGAGAGTGTTGATAAATCTTTTGGGTTGTAACATCTCTCCTGATTATAGGCAATCCACCACATCCATACCACTAAATGGTTTGTTTGATTTGTTTTTTTGTAACATTAAGGAACAAAAAGCAAATGTCACCATCTTTTAAACATTTGGAGCAGAATCTTGAAGGTTGATGGCATGTCCTCATGAGAACTTTCTTTTCACCAAATAGGGTGCATTTGAATACTTCTGTCAAATGTTCTGCTACATTGGCTGTGCCACAGATTTCGATTTGTACTAATGCCAAGGGGTATTTTAGCAGTTTGATACAGATACTAGTAGTGTAATTTGCAGAAATTTGATGTCACAAAGTAATGCCAAATAAATGTCTTTCTCCCAATCCAAACCATGGGGATATACACCAGCCTTCATAATGTACACATAAAAGCTGATTTTTCTTTGGGCTGCTTTTTATTAAAATATATTTGACATTATTCATATAGTATTAAAAGGCAATATATATACAGGGGTCAAGAAGTCTGCATACAATTTTTCCAAGTCAATGTTTGTCAGTACAGATCCTAACAATGTACAGTTGAAATCAATCAGCTATAATTTCTTGTAGATTTCCATTTTTTTCCAATGTTCATTGCACAATTTGAAATCGGAAGCATCTTAGTGTCAAGCTGTGAAAAGTGACATCCTTTTGCCTTTGGGAAAACAGAAGTTTGTCACAGCTGTCCTTCTTCCCTTTTAGCCAAGGTTATCTACAGAATTTAAAATCCAGCAATGGATAAATTGGTATAATACAACCACGCAGATCCTTGGACACCCGGTATAAATATGCAATATTACGAAAAAATTAATATACAGACATGTCAGTTTAAATATAGATATGTCAATTATAGGAAAAGATTTTGCTGAGTATTAGCACTAAGAGAGGGAAAGGGACACCTTGAACACAAAGCCACTTTACCTATATATCCTCCGCCTCCTCCACCTGAGGAGCACCCCCCTCCACCCCCTCCGAAACCCCCTCTTGTCTCCCACCCCCACTTCTTCATGGCCTGGGGGCAGGATTTTCCTCCGGTAGCGCCTTCCAGCAAGGATTTTCCCGACCAGAGGAAGGAAGTGTTATCATTCCAGCCGCCTCCACCACCTGCAGTTCAACAGAAGGAAAAATAACTTGCATAAGTATTTCTTACAGTCCCCCAGAAGGCACAGAGCAGCAGGATAAAATCAAGCTTCCTGTATGAAGTGTTTGTACAGGTTTCCTAAGAAAGGCTAAACATGTCCTTGGGCTTTGTATGCAGGCTTGCACTTATACATTTGACAATTCTCTTAAGACAACAAAACCTTGACTCTTAAACCTAATTCTGTTCATCTAGAGTACAGATTACAAAGCAGTCCTATGATATACACAAACTGGAAGAAGTCTATATGATGTTACTGAGCCAGTTAGATTCATGGAGTATGGACCTGTCTATAAATATATCCATTCAAATAATTTATATCTTATTGGTATGTGAGAAATAAATACCTTCTAATTAGGGTTTAAGTACATGTAAAATATTAAATCTAAGTAAAACACGTTTGCCTTGTTGGACCAAAGCTACTGGTGTGTGTGTGTGTGTGTGTGTGTTATGTTCCTTGGTATGTAATAATCAATATGAGGAAACTTATAACATCTCCTGTTCCCAGCATACATGTATAGTTGGTGAATTTGGAAATAGGACTTTCAAGGGAGAAAAAATAGGGTGCCAAAATTCAGGTTTTCCATTCAGATGAACCAGGATTCAGTGCTTGCCACTTCCAAGTAAAAGAGCAGATAACCACTAATGGGAACTTCTTGAAAGCCAGCACCAGACGGNATTGTCTGAGAATCTATGTCTTGAGATTTAGGACTATACTAAGTTTAAGAAATTAAGAAACTGTGGGATTTTATGTTTATAGCAAAGTTTCTGAATGTTTTTCATTTCAAAATTATGATGCCACCAATTTTGAGCAACTCTGTGCTGCCAAAAAAAAGGGCTACATGTAGGAACTCAAATTGCTGCCCCCTAGACAATTTGGACAAACAACCTGTTCTAATATCTAGTAGATTCCTTGTCCCTAAATTGTACAATAGAATTAAGCATAGTGTAGGTTAGAGGCAGCCCAGAACAAATGAGCTATCTGTAATAATTTAATGCTTTCCCTATGCTCTTTATATTTCCTCTTGCCTAAGGTGAATGAGTGATAAAAAAAATATCATTTTTGTTCCTCTATAGGTCTTATTCAAGATAATAAAAGAACGTTTCCTATAGAAATGCTTTCAAAGGAGAAGAGAATTTGGGAGAAATGCTCATGAGCCAAGTGTGATTTTTTTTAGGACTTCTTTTGTTGTTAAGGTGGTTAAGGTTTATGTGGGAATGACTTCAGGGTCCTGAAATTTCCAGGAAGTTTGCTTCACTTAAATCCCAAAGCAAATGATCATGCTTTTTCTAGTGAACTTTTTCACTCCTGTCACTGTTGAAGAGGTGTTGAGAAATTAAGAAACTGGAGGATTTTTCATTCCCTGAAATTATGATCAGTCATATGAGTTATCTAAAATTTGATAGAGAACACTGAAAGGTATTTTTGTATTTTTTTTCCCTGTTGGCTATAAATACAAATCTCTTCTTTTTTCTCACATACACACAGAAGAGAAAATTATCAACAATTTCAGTGTCAACAAGCTATTGTAATCCTAACAAAATGGGAAAATGCGCATTGTATAAAGTTATATTTTTTTCTCTCCCTACTTTACCTGACATTTGGACTTGTCTTCCTTTGTTTTAAATATAGTACATTTTAAAGCTCCTAACCCTTGTAACTTATTTTCTGTTTTTTGGTGGTACTTAGTCCCGCATTATGGGTTTTTAATTACACTTTTGTATCTGTTCACTCCTGCTGTTTTATTACTCTCTATTGTTATCCCTTGTTTTTAGCCCATTTCATTTGTTTCCATGTCAATGTATTTTTATGCAAATGATTTAGAAATAACAATTTACACATTGTTTTAAAAATGTTTGTGCAAGCTGACATTGGAAAAACAAATAATGTGAAATATGGCATTAGAAATTAAAATAAGTAACAAAACATCACACACTGATGCTCTGAAACATTATCACAATCTGATCTGTCAAAGGCTTACAAGAACAGCTGTCATGATATTTATAGAGAGGCAAACACTTGGGCTTAAGGTATTCTGGAAATACAATTAAATACATCTAGTGGGGCACTGGATTAGTACAAAGCAGACTTAAAGTCATAAAACCTGTTTCTAACTGCATTCCTGTGAAATAATTATATGTCATTCAGCAGTAACTTTGACAAGAGATGCAGAACATAAATTTAATAAATATCATTGCAGTTTCTTTTAAAAAACAAACAAACAAACTGCTTAACAGGGAACAGACATTGCACAACAGAGTTTTGCCTATTTTTCTAGCAGTATCATGTTTATATTTCTTTCAGCCTTTCCTCTTTGGGGTTGCTATTATTATTATGGTTCATCGCACAGTCAGCCAGATGTTCAAACTGGATTTGGCATTTTTAATCAATCTATTGAGTCCTTCCCAAGGACCTGGAATAGGCAAATGTTGATGTTTGATGGTGTTAAAGGTATCATCACAAGATGTAAGATGAGATTCTGAGTAAATCCGCCTTTTGCAATTATTATTATTATGTTTGGTTGCAAAGTCAGCCAGAGGTTTAGACTGGATTTGGCAATTTTGTCCACCTAAAGAATCCTTCTCAAGATGTTGTTTGATGGTGTTAAAGGTTAGGGTTAGGTTCTTTGTCTACTATTCTACTATCCCCTGGTATTGCTACATCAATTATCCACACTTTCTTATTTTCAAACACTGCTAAATCTGTGTTATAAGCCAAGAGTTTATCAGTTTGCACAATATTTTGACCTGCTCATTTTCAACTACTTTTCCAATTCTATGATCCCAACAATTTTTCAGTATTGGGCTCATGATAATTTTTACAGGTGTTCCAATGAATTATTTTTGGCAACTGCATCATGTCATTGTTTATTGTTTATAGTTTGTGCATCTTCTTGCACAAGCTGAATATGTGATTTACTGTTTCCTCTGCTTCTTTGCACAATCTGCATTTTGAATCATTTGACAATTTTAAAGTTCTAGCCTTAATTGCATTAGTACAAATAGCTTGGTCTTGACCAACTAAAGTCTAGCTTTCACTATCTTTTTTTAATGTTCCAACTGTAAGCTATTGCCAGGTTTTATCTTTTATCTACTTTGCATTCCAGTCTTTTGTAGAAATTGACTATGCAATGTTTTTCCCTTGCCAGAGTTCTGTGAATATTTTTATTACACTATTTCAATATTCATATTTTGATTTTGCATATTCAGCAAGTTCCAACTTTTAACTTGCATCAGTGCTTGTTCTTGGCTGCCTTTCACATAGTCAGCTGATGTATACTTTTCTTCTTTGACAGTTTGCTGCCTTGAAATAGACCTCTGCCTCCATTTCTTTTTTTTGTAATATATTTTATTGATTTTTTAAAAAACATAAATCAGTTAATAATTGGTGAACAGTGTGTTGTCTGGGTTACATTTGTAAAACAATCACTAACAACTGATTTCTATAATCCATAATTCACATAATAGTTTTAGTTGATTTCCTCTTTTCCCAAAATATCCTCTTTTGCAAACATTGAGTTAATACAATTCTTATTGTTTTGATAGACAACAATTAAATATATATTTTCCCAATAGTCCTAAAAATAATAGTCACATCAATATAATATTTCTTTTCTATCCAATCATTCTGATTGCCTTATCATAGATCCTGTTACAGTCCTTATTTTAATTTGTTTCTCCCACCAAATTCTAGATATTCTTACTGGTTAAAATTTTCTCAAAAATTAATTACATTTAAGAATTTAACTATTTTTCCATATGAACCATCTCACACTTTTACATTTCTTAAGGAATAGATAAAACAGTAGAAAAAAAGAAAGAAAAGCAGGAGTAAAGAAACATAAAAAATAACATACTACTTAAAATATATATCCCTCCTAAGCTAATATGTATTTATTTCCTAAATTTCTTATTCTTTTTAACCATAATTAAAATATGTTTAATCTTTAAACATTTCATTTAATACATCTAGTCATCTATCCTTTAACTCTTATTCAAAACATTTTTATCCATTATAATTTTCCTAAATTCAATCATATTTAAATATTTAAAACATTTCTTTTATCTAAGTCATTTCAACTTTTTTATATTACTCATATCAAGAAAGAGAACAAAAAAAGGGGGGAAAGCACACTATATTATATTTAGAGAATTCATCCCTCTTAGAGTGACATATATATTCCAAAACTTTTCTATTTCTTTAACCATATTCAAACAAATGTTTCTTTTTAAAGTATTCTCTCTGGTAAATCCCATCATCTATTTTCTTAGTTTCCACTTTAGTCTTTTTCTTTTGCCCAGTGTCTTTCTTAATCAATGTCTTTGCTGAATCAAAAAGTTTTTTCCGTATGTTTGTAAATGTTGCTGTAGATATAAAAAGTAAAT